GCATGAAGATTGAATTTTAGTCTCAGGAATTGTTTATTGCTATCCTAATGTATCTGTTTCCTGCAATATATATCGGGTGTTCCATAGGAAATGGCTAATTTTTCTATTTCATATTTTAATCTTTAAATACATTTTAAAAAAGCACAGAAAATAGCACTAGATGCAGCGTAAAAATCTCTGCAGCTACAAACAAAAGCTTATTTTAATTGTGTACTTGGTATTTTCAAAATAAATGGAATTCTGCGCAATCAATTTTCGACGCTGCGCAAAATGGTCTCACAGAATTTTGTTTCTTTTCAAAACACAAAGTATACAATTAAAAAAACCTTTACTTTGTACACTGTAGAACTTTTTACGCTGCATCTTGAGGTATATGCGATAAAACCAATTAGGTGATAAAAAGATGAAATAAGAAAAATGATTTGCTCATTGGAATAGAAAAATGTTCTTTTAGGTACAATAGAAATTATTCTCACGGAATTTTGCTTTTTTTTGAAAACAAAAATTACACAACCAAAATATGCTTTACTTTGCGGATTGTAGATCTTTTCAAGCTGCATCTTCTGGTGTATTATACTTTTTTAAAGAAAGCATATTACAAGATACACAGATAAAATAAGAGCGAAGGAATGGTTTTTTAACATCTTCGAAAAGTGGTCGTATAGAATTTAGTCTTTTCAGAATCAAAATTAAACAACCAAAATCCATCTTGCTTTGTGAATTGTAGAGCTTTTCACGCTGCATCTAGTGGTATACTCAGTTTTTTAATAAAATTTTTTAAAGATTAAAATCTGAAATACAAAAACTGACCATTTATTATGGGACACCCGTTTGAACGAGATTATGAAATTGATATTGATACTATTGGAACTGCTTTTCTATCGAAAAAAGATCAAAGAAAAAAATTTTTTGAAAATGAACAAAATAATTGTACATCATTCTCGAATAAGAACTTATTTTTTCCTATTATAATAAACATTTGTGAACATCTAATAGTGATTGAAGACTAAAATTAAAGAAGTAAACGTACTCAATTAAAAGTACATATACTAATTACAGGGGGTTTAATGCACTACTAGAGGAGTTAATGTTCGAGCTTTGCATGCAGTGCATTCGAGAAGTTCAGTTCTCATGAAAAAATTTTTTGCATCGGACTGAGCAAGGGAAAGAAAGCAGAGCTCATTTAACAGTTTATTGCTACCCTACAAAACTGATCTTGCGCCGCCCATGATTAGAAGAACTATAACTTTTAAGTTCATTACGAGACAAGTTTATTGTGCCATTAGATTCTCATGTGATTAGTTTAGTTTTTTGTTCTTATTGTTTGTTGAATTAATCTCAAATACATATGTTAGTTTCAGAACTTCTACTTAGCTATCTTTTATTAGACAAGCTAACATTAGTCCAGCACTTAAAGGATCGAGGAAAAAGTCTTGCAATAGTATTCTCAGTTCGAAAATGAAGAGAAAAACTGATTTTAACGTTCGATGTTGTACAGTAAAATGCAGTGTGAATCATTTTAATAGGCAGTTTCCTATTATTCATCTCACTGACCAGTTTTACATACTCAGACATGCAAAATACGGATTCATTCATAGAAGTTGTGATGACAATTATAGACTTCCTATCGATGCTATTGAGCTAAGTTTTCTTAAGGGTACCCCCCCCCCCTCTTTTTCGGTCAAAACTCGATTTTGAGTTGGGCAAAAGGTATGATAGCCTCAAGTGTTATGTGCAATTAGAGAGATCATTCAACTCTAAACACCTTACTATTACAAAGTTACTGAATTAAATAAATTTCTTTTTCATAATAATCATAAGAAATTTTTTCCCTTTACTTACCCACACCCAAAACTACAGTTCTCTCAATCGGGCCTGCTTACGACCCCCCTCTAACTTTGTCCGATCGGACTGAAATTTTTACCACAGATACTTGGAAGTGTTCTCCAGAGGTAGAATCAGCCATTTCCGTTTTGGACCTTCCTATCCAGATCTATATGGTTGTGAACGCCAAGACCCGGATTTTGGATCCGAACCTTTCGGTATTTCTCTCATAAAAAGAAAAGAAAGCGAGATTTTTAGAAAAGCTCAAAACTAGGGTGTGGGTATGTGGGGGTGGGTTGGAGTGTGGGTGTGAGTGTGGGTGTGGGTGGGCGTGGGTGTGGGTGTGAGTGTGGGTGTGGGTGGGCGTGGGTGTGGGTGTGCGTATGAAGAAAAGATCCACACCCACACCCCACACCCCACACCCACACCCACCCACACCCACACCCACCCACACCCACCCACACCCACACCCACCCACACCAACACCCACACACTCCACACCCACACACCCCACACACCCACACCCACACCCTGTTCTACATATATGTCCGATGGGTATTGAAGGCTCGAGACTATAGACGTGCGGATATCAAAAAATTTTTTCAGCGGATCTCCTCTGCTATGAGTTCTTCTATGGGTATCGTAAGTCCAGGTCGATGCATCGACATACCCATCGGAGGACGGGTTGGGTGACATTCAAACTGTGTCAGTCATCAAACGTGACGTGTCGATCATGTGTGTTGAGAAAATCGACAGTCGGAGAGCTATTTTTATCGACTAAAGGAGAGTCGGAGGTAAAACGTATCAATTTACAGCCGAAAACTATATGCGAAACGTGTATTGTCACTGTTTGTCGACTTATATCTCTTATCACGAGTGAGCATGAGGCAACAAGCTACATAGGCAATCAGGAGTCATTCAAATGAAGATAATGATGACAAAAAGCGCGTAAGCATGATGTAGCAAGTTTCATAGGCAAACAGGAGTCATTCAAATGAAAATAATGATGACAAAAAAGCGAGTAAGCATGAAGTAACAAGTTCCATAGACAAGGAGGAATTATTATATATATCGCTTTATTTGAGTGGTTTGATCACGTTGGTCCTGACCACTTTAAAAGCAGGAGTCATTCAAATGAAGATAATGACGACAAAGAGCGAGTAAGAGAAGTTGAAAGAATAGTTTGATACGCGCATATAACTTGAAAAGAATGCAAAGAGCGACAACTAAAGATGAGTGTCCAGGGACGACCATGAGTTTGTCCATCGTTGAATGTGTTCAATTGACACATTTCAATTTGAGCTAGTAGTTCATGGTTTAATTGAGAATTAGGTATGCACCAGTACAGTCCGACTGGCACCCGCTCTCCAGTTCTAAACTGAAACTGGTGCACACCTATCGAGAATTGAATGAATGAGACTTGTTTTTATGACGAATTCAGATGCACACAGCGTTGTCTACCAGATATCAACGAAATATTGTTGTTCGAAGTTCACTTTCAACAATGTCAAAGAGTTCCAAAAGTAAAGGAGCTCATTGACTTTCCATTGATAGTCGAAGATTCGACATCAGCTGAGATTTTCGATCTCCAGTTTCAGTTCTGAACCAGTCAAGAAAAAAGCCCTAGCAGTATAATCCCTTGACTGTGGGTGCTGTGTATGACAGAGATACGCACCGCACGCGCGGAGGCGGCCGCACCCTAAGCATATTAGGTGTTAAGTTTTCTTTTTAGCCTCAACCTCGAGAAGCCATGTCAATTTAGTGTTTTTCAGTGACATTTGTCTTTTTTTAGGATTGAATTCTAAATAATAAAAGGAAGGTATGTTGACTTAATAATCCTTTTATGATGAATTAAAATATTGTTTTGAATTCCTAATGGTAATAGTGTTTAAGTAAATGAACATTTTTATTTTTTAGCACATGTTAAGACTATATCTTGGTATCTTTTTCTTTCTTTCCTTTCTGTTACAGTTTCTCCGACACATACTAGGTACATTGTTCTCTTCAATTTTTTGTTTTTCTAACATAGTGCATCATTCTATTTAGGTAAGATTCCGTCAGTGTCTTTTGTCTCTCTTATATCTCTCCTTGACTTTGTGTCTCTCTCTTATATCTCTCCTTGACTTTGTGTCTCTCTTATATCTCTCCTTGACTTTGTGTCTCTCTTACATCACTCCTTGACTTTGTATCTCTCTTATATCTCTCCTTGACTTTGTGTCTCTAATTTTTGCGCGAGTATATTTGACGATAAATAACATCAATAGAGTTTGCTATTGTATTCATTCATTTTACTCTTTTCTGTTATAATGGGTATCACATTCTCTATCTCTGATAGTAAACAATGAAAAATGTTGATTTTTGTTACATATGAAATGAGCAAAGATCATTTTTCAATCGTTATACATATGTAGCTACCTGACAGTCTCTTTCTCTTCTATCTGTTCTTCTTCCTTTCTCTTTCGTAGATATGTTAACACGAAAATCAGTTCCATATCAGTGTGTATATGTCTAGTTAAATCTTGTTAAACAGGATATCCTTTCATGGCCTTTTCAATTTTATGTTGTCGTTCATATTTAAGTGTCAATAAGTGGATCTTTATGTGTTGAGAGATATTACAGTACAATAAATTTGAAAAAATTGGCATAACGAATTTCTTCAGTTGCCATAAGGCGACCGCGTCGCTCGCCAAAAACGCTCCCTGGTGGTGACCGCGTCGGCCACCTATTTTTGGACTTCCGCCGTTCTCCACGCCGCCACCGCCTCGTTTTTTAGATGCGGTGCACATCTGTAGTATATGAATCTATATAGATTATACAACAAAGAATAAAAGAATTTTCTCATCAAAACATTGTCTGACATTTTTCACCAGCTGAAAAATGCATAGTGATCAACAATAGTTAAGCAACCTGTTGTTGAAGTTTGCGCTGCTCACATTTAAACATTTCAAATAAAATCAATAAGAAAAAGTTCCTCCAATTGAAGAAATTTGTTCTTTCTTGTTTTTAGATTAATGATGATATTTTCATGTAGATTAAGTTTTCTTATTTTTATCCTAACAATCAAATCCGGCGCAAGTTTAATTTGTTATAAATGTGATGACATTTGGGTAACACCTACGAACTTAAAACCACCGACTGGCTGCGCCAGAATGAATGTAAACCAAACGTATTGTACAATGACAATTGTTTTTAATGATGATGTTAACGGATATATTCAGATTCAATCAGAATCGACTCACCAAGCATATCATTACGATGAAGATTTTGCTTTACTTGGATTAACAATGAGAAGTAATGGATCATTTCAATATGGTATTACCTATCATTGTTTAACAGATGGCTGTAATGAACCAAAGCTTAATAAACTTCAATTATTATTCAATTCAACTACAATAGAACATAATATAAACACCATTTTACCATTATTATACACGGCTACACCTGAAACTCCATTAACATGTTCAAAATACACGAATTATACAGATCCTAATAATTGCTATAAACAAGAAGAAATAAATATTGTATGTTCGAGATGTTTCACAACTATTAATGGAATAACAAATACAGTATGCGCCAATTGCTTAGAAAATGTTGAAAAAATTTTTGATCTTCTTCGTGATGAACGAGCATATTTGTTAAAAACAAGAAAAACAAGTAATCATTATTATGAAGTATATTGTAACATTCCAGAATGTAATAGAATAGACAAAATTCAACAAATTCAAAAACTACATCGTTATGATTTTGATTATGATCAATTCATGGGAAAATCCACATCATCTTTGCTATTCTTAAACAAGAATATCATTTACTTTTATATTATTATTGTATTCATTTGGAATATCCTGTAAAACGACTTATACCCTTTCCCCAAATAAAAGAATATGCCCTTATACCAAGGGGGAAACAGCTGATTAGGAATCCGCTAATCATCCTAATCACTCCTAATCACTCCTAATCAATAATAATCACTCCTAATTACTCCTAATCAATAATAATCACTCCTAATCACTCCTAATCAATGATAATCACTCCTAATCAATAATAATCACTCCTAATCATTACTAATCACTCCTAATCATTACTAATCGCTGCTAATCAAACAGTGACCAAATCTAATCACTTTTAGTTAAGTATAATGGATAATATTATAAAAGAGATTCACAATCAAACAGAAGTTTCTTCTGTATAAATATGTATACCAATGTATTGTTAATACGAGGACATTTTTTACAAAACTACTTATTTTATAAAAATTCGAGCTTTCTAATCTACAAGAGAAAGATTAGTATATGATGCATTTCGAACGAAACAGAAAAATATTTCGTTTCCTTCTATGTTAAAATTTGTCCACGTATATTCGTATCCTAAAAAAGAAAGTAGTAAGAGTGTAGTTTACAAATAAAGGTTAAAATACCATATAAGTAGGGGTGACACTTTAACTTTAAAAACACTAAAAAAGTATAAAATTTAATCCCTTGACTGTTAAGTTTTTTTGAAATTAAATAGTAAACTTTTCGCAAAATAACTTTTCATTGACGAGAACATAATTGATACGAAATATCAGAAGCGGTAGAGCGAGCTCCAGTAGATGCAGGATGTTAGAGCTGGTACAGAGCATACAAGAAAAACAAAGTTAAGAAATTGTAGTCTTCATCTTTTCCATAAAGATTGCTGTGACGAGTATACTCGTCGTTAACGGTCAAGGGGTTAAAGTGTTACTTTAAACTTTAACTTTAACTTAACCAAATAAAGTTAAAGTATATATCGTCCAATGGGCGGACTGATGCGGCCTCAACTACGATTCTATAGAGATACCCATAAGTACTCAATGGGTATCCGAGGGGGTACCCATAAGTCCTCAAGGGCTATCCAAGGTGGTATTCATAGATCCTCAACGGCTATCCGACGGAGGATACCCATAGATCCTCAAGGGCTATCCGAGGGAGTATTCATAGGTCCTCAAGGGCTATTCGAGGGGGTACTCATATATACTCAAGGCCTATCCGAGGGAGTACTTATAGGTCCTCAAGGGCTATCCGAAGGGGTACCCATAGGTCCTCAAAGGTTATTCGAGGAGGGTACTCATAGGTGCTCAACGGTTATCCGAGAGGTAGGAATGTAACAATACCAATACCATTTGGTATTGGTGTTGGGTGGTATTGGTATTGGTCGGTATTAGTATTGATATATGGGGAGGGAGCTACTGGTCCTTCAGCTCGATTTCAATGTATCGAAAAACCGATCACGGATTCGGATTCCTCGACCCTGAACACCTTTGATCAAACTTTATGAAAAATCGGTATTTTCTCAAAACAACGTATTTCTGATGAAAAAATCAAGAATTTGTAATTAACTTCTCAAAATTTGCGACTTTACTTTTTTCATCAGGAATGCGTTGTTTTGAGAAAATAACGATTTTTTATAAAGTTTGATCAAACGGTTTCGGAGTCGAGAAATCCGAATCCGTGATCGTTTTTTCGATACATTGAGATTGAGCTGAGGGACCAGTGGCCCCCTCCACATATACCAATACCAATACCAAATGGTATTGGTGGTATTGGTATTGTCACATCCCTGCCCCTCGGATAGCCCTTGAGGACTTATGGGTACCTCACTCGGATAGCCATTGAGTACTTATGAGTATCCCCATAGAATAGTAGTTGAGGACGTATCAGTCCGTCCATTGGACGATATGTACTTTAACTTTATTTGGTTAAGTTAAAGTTTTAAAGTGGTTTACTTTAACTTTAAAAGTTAAAGTTACACCCCTAATGATGATGATGATGACAATATGGATGACAAACAATTGAAAACATTTCAAACAAGTTTTGATGGATTAAATATCAAAGACAGTGTATCAGCTGTTTAAGAGAAATCATATTTCAAGATTAAAATCAATGATATGAATAAGTTCTTACATAAGTCCACGGCTTGTTATCTTCTTACAAGAGATAATAATAGCGTATCTATTGATAGATTATCACGAGTTATTCGAACATCAAAAAAATGATGAATTGTTTCCTTTTCTTTGCATAAACTTTTTCTTGAAATTAGAAATATATGTACTTGTTGATAGTTCGTGTTACTTCTTCTTAAAATCCATTAATTGAAAAACAATACAAAAGAGTTAAGGCAAAAGTCTCGTGTACTTTAAGATAGGTAATGATATCTAATCGCAACATAACCTACTAAATGGCTTAAAACAGTTTCGTTTTGTGTATACAACGCAAGTACAGAAGCATAGGGACTTGAAATAATATATGACTTTTATTCATTTTTCTAATAAACTCTAATCACTCCTATTCACTCTAATCACTCCTAATCACTCCTAATCACTCCTAATCATTTCTAATCACTCCTAATCATTCCTAATCACTTCTAATCACTCCTAATCACTCCTAATCAATAATAATCACTGCTAATCACTTAAAATCATATCTAATCAAATAATCAGCTGTTTCCCCCTTGCCTTATACACTCTCCCTATATCGCTACTTTTTTAGTGACCTTCTATTATCGATCAATTTTGATCATTAATTAATAAAAATATTTTAAATGAATATTCAACCAGATCTCAACCATTAGTACAAAAGTCATCTACGATCAAGATGAACGCAGGGGGCACATTTGATCTGAAATCGGCTTATAGGAATTTTTTCAGCAACATCCTTACTATCTTATAACAAATGAAAGATCTCGTTGAGATAAGCATTTTTGGTGACGGGACCAACGATTATTTTTCTGATAAATAAAAAGTTTGAACAAGGTCAATATTCGATGTTTTTGGGTCTAAATTGGTTTTATGTCCAATTTAATATAGTACCCCTATTCATATGAAGATAATGAGAAAAAAAGAATTTTTTTACTTCATCTAGTAGACTATATGGTCCTCTAACACTGCTATAAATATCAAGTTTTTTGCTTTAGTCATTCTGGCTTTATAGCAGAAATACGACCCTCAAAAATCTCGAAAACCATCATTAGTTCATTCGACACGTTCAGTGTAGATCTTTTATCTTTTTACCGACAAGAGCAAACATCACCATTTTTTTACCATAAAGAGCGCTTTATATTAGCTATGAAATGCACTCATTACAGCTGAGAAAATGTTGCGGGAAGACACCTCATGAACTAAGATATGGGTGCGGATGTGGGTGTGGGGTGTGGGGTGTGGGTGTGGGGTGTGGGTGTGGGTGTGGGGTGGGTGTGGGGTGTCGGTATGGGATGTCGGTGTTGGTCTCTTTATGCACATCCAAACCCACACCCACATCCACACCTACACCCACACCCACACCCACACCCACACCCATCCACACCCCCACCCCCACAACCACAGCCACAGCCACAGCCACAGCCACACCCCACCCACACCCACACCCACATCCAAACATGTTGGTATCACTATCACATTTGATTGATCCAATCTATATTTCATTTCTCATTTATTCAACAAAATATTCTATTCGTATTTAAACTACTTTAACTGACAACTTATTCTACTACAGTTAGCGAAAAACTGAAACCAGTTGCTTGGTTTTGTATTATTACTGGGTACAGATTATAAATTGACATAAAAGACACCGGTTTCGAGACAAACGTAGCCACACTTTTAGATGAGTGCAACTGCACTCGATATCTTCTGTATAAACTTTTCTTTCTTCGTCTCCTTGTCGAATAATGTTGTTCAGTTGGATATATCTAAGCGCGTACTAGTTTCATTTTTTTCTTAGTATATATTTTAGTATCACCTATTCCTCATCGTTTATCTAACAAGTGTGTATTCCCAGGTGTCGGAACGCTTTTCAGCCTGGCTTCGCTCATCTTATAGTCCATAGTGAGATATGTCTATCGTGAAAAACGTCCGGATTTCTGGTTTGTTTCTGAGGCGATAGTGCATTTTTATTATTACCACTATAAGAGTTGTCGTATCAGCAAAAGAATAATATGTCAACCCATATTCATTGAAATGAATTGAGATTTTTCTCATATATAGTTGTACTCCTGTGAGACATAATGTGAGATTTTGAGCTCAAACAAAATTTAAAAGACGCAACTATGCATTTTAGACAATATTAATGTTGTTTTATATGTCATTATATATAGAATTTCCCAGAATTATAAGATGATTGTAGTCTTTCACAATAATATATTTATTTGCACTTCTATCCAATGGGCTATAACGTCGTTTATATGAAAAGTTACACACATAGTAATTTTTTTCGGTTATAAATGATACATTTTATTAAATGACGAGAAATAAACCAAACTAATTTACATACATGGACTAAACATATACCATGTTTGTAGCAAAAAGAAAAATAATATATAATAATGTATTTTTTATCTGATACTCATTTTATTCATTTCTAACGAACATGACAAATGCATCAATTGTATTCTCCCTACTCTCAGAGAAGTTTCCTCAATCTGGAACATCGATAAAAGTTAATCTTCGAGCTTCATTCAGAGAGCGCATCAAACCGACTTTTATTGGTTCGAGTTTGGTTCGAGTATATTTTCAAAAAACCCGTTCGAATTCGGTTCAGTTCGGTTTAACCCACATTTTATATTATGACAGGAAAAGCTTCTAAATTACACTGTGCCTATGCATCACGATTGTATCGTAAGATTCTTCACCCATTGTAAAAATATTGATTTATTTTGGATTGCAACACGCATCTCATTCTCTATTGAACTCCTTTAAATTTATCTTTTTATAAGAATAGAATGCTATTGCCAATTAGACAAGATTTCCTCTGTTCTTTGCAGCAGAGAACAATCAGAGAATAAAAGAAATGAATTAAAAGATTCCGCTGTGTACAAATGACCGATCGTCATGCATTATATACTACTGTTATGAATCATAACAATGACACATCAGAGAACGAAGCACCGTACAGAGATTATATTAAGTATGTGAAGCAATTGGTCAAAGATTTCTTGAACATTTTCAACAACATATGTTTTTACGAAAGAGGTGATAGGTCAATTAATATGGGTTCGGTTAAGTTCGACATCATTTCTCAAGAAATAGCTCCATTCGGTTCGTTTTCGTTCTCTCACTCCATAAATACGTGAGAAAGAGGTTGCGAACTATTTGTCTGGACTTATGAATTTAATTATCAAATGTCACGCGTTTACTCTAGAAAGTGTAACTTCTCTTGATTATATTTCCAATGAATTAATCGAAGACGATGCTGATCAGTAAGTTGCATCAGATTACTCTGAATTAGATCCAGATTTCAACAACGCAGACGATAACGACGATGCTGGTGTCCTTCTTCAAAAGTTTTCTCTAGATAACATGAAAAAAGTTATCGAATATTAGGGTAAAAAGAATCCGTTAAGAAGAAAACGTCGTCGGTCTTTGAAAGGTGTGAAAGGTTGATTTAAACATATCACAGGCTCATCATACATTTCTCGTTTTCGTGCTTCTATTGAAAAGAGGGGAATGAGAACGCAAAAGTTGGAAAATGTAAATAATTATGTTTATCATAAATTTGAACCAGCTCGAGAATCTTATATTCCTATGCATGATCTTGACTTGCATCGCTGGCGCTTAGAAAAAGCTAAACAGCAATTATTCCATGACTTTGTCGCTTTGAAAAAATGGTTGTTTAATTTTATAATACAGCACAATATACGCTGAAGAAAAGTGACCAAAGTGAGTAACTTGTTTCCAGTTTACAATAGAGTGACCACTTTCGAAAACACCATACCCTAGTCTCAATCCTGTTCATTCCTTGAGAAAGCCGGGAAGGATCTTTCAGGATCCTGAATTTCAAGGATCTTGGCAAGTTTCATTCAGGATCCCATCTCAAATCCTAACAATCCCTGTTGCCAGGATACTTTAAGGTTAAGCAGGATCCTGTTTAGGATCCTGATCCGATTTTTTTCTGAATAGAAAATCCAGGATGCTAGCAGGATTCACTCTGGATCCTACTAAGGATCCTGACAGGTTTACAAAAGAGGATTCTGGCAAGATTTTAATAGGTTTTCACCAGGATTTAAATCAAATCTTCATCTCAGGATCCTGCCTGGATTTAGAAGTACATCCGACGAGGATCTTGGCAAGAAAATGAGAAGATTTCCATAGCTTGCAAGACGATACCAATCCTAATAATGATCTTGACAAGAAATCATAAGGATTCCCTTAGGACCTTTGCAATTTACTGTTCACGCTATTCAGCGCTGTTCATTTCTGAAGAATACTTTCAATGTCATAATTGTTATGATTTCTGCCAAGATAGATTCAAGATATCTTCAAGTTCCTGCTCAGATCTTTTTGTGAACTGAGAATTCAGGATCCTATCAGGATTTACTCTCGCTTCGTTTCAGAATTCCGACAAGAATTATAAAAAGGCTTCGGTCAAAATTTAGTCAGATTTTACCCAAGATCTATTCAAGATCCTGTCCCGATTTCTATTTCTTTTTGTTATGTTGATCTTTCCTAAGTTTTTTCAGGATTCTACAATGATCTGTTCAAGAACAAGTGTTCTGCATCCTTAAAAAGTAGTGCAAGTATGATCAAAATCCAGAGATGAAAATACAAGGATCTGATTAAGATCTTTATAGGCTTGCGTTTAAAGTGTATTCAGAATTTGATATTCAGGATCCTACCAAGATTTATAACTGACTCTACTCAGGATCCTAGAAAGAATGCATGAAAACATTTCATCAAGATTTTATCTGCCTCTTGCCCGAGATCAGCTCAAGATCCGTACATCTAAAAACCACAACAGGATTGCAATATCAAAAGTCAATAAGGTCTCTACAAATTGGATGATTTTTCAAAATTTACTACGGTTTTATTCTGGCCGTGATGAAATTCTTACAATAGATAGGAATATACTATGATTTTTATTCTGATCATGATTTAAATCTATGCAACAGCAAATAAACAGATTATGACAAATTTTTTAAAATTCTATCGAAATCTTTTCAAAATATATATTCTATATGAGAATTGATATGATATTCACGATATAAAATTAATCATCTGTCCTATTTTATATTGAATAATACTAGGAAAATTACTAAATTAGGGAACTCCCATCTGTTCATTGATTGTACTAAATTTTTAAATAAATTGTAAGTTTTTTTTTTGAAGTAAAATCTTTCGGCCAAAACTGTTGTCCATTACATTTATTTGTTAAAAAAGGTTGAAAAAATATTTATTAAATCAAATTAACGTCAAACATGATATAGTTGAATTCTTTCAACTAAAATGAGTATTTAAAAGGAAATATTTTGTTTTGTAATTTTTTCGGAAAATAATTATGCTGATAAAAAAATTCAAATACAAGTCAAAATGTAAGATAGAAATGAAGATATTGAAAGTTGAAACTATATCTAATAACATGACACATCCAGCAGGGTAAGCTGATCGGCATGTAAACTGAAGGTCTAGAGATCAATACTCTATGTGTTCATTTCTTTTCTGTTCTCTTTAGATAATCCTGCAAAGATCCTGTCAACAAATCTGATCACATCCTAAAGGAAACCTTTATAAATCCTGCCAAGATCTTGTCAAGAAATATGATAATATTCCAGAGAAAATCTACTAAAATCTTGGAAGATATAAGCAGAATTTTTTCATTAGGAACCATTACAGTCCTGACCGGTTCCTTCTAAGATCTTGCTTGAATCTTGAACATTTCGTGGTTACACACTTCTTTCAGGATTTATTGATTTCCTGAACGGTTCTTAGTTCAAAAGTAGTGATAAACCTGCAAGTATCCTGATTGAATCCTGTTTCAATCCTTCAAGGATCTTGAAATTCCCTTGCTACACGCTTTCTTCAGGATTTTATCGTTTCCTCAGGAAAAAATAGAGAATCCTCGCAGGATCCTGAACGGATCTGTCAAAGATCTGGAACGGAAACATCAAAGATTTTCCCTAGGGAGAAAACTGTCGAGACTGAATTAATTCATCACACTGAGTCGAAAGGCGATATAGTTTTTTTTGAATTCAATACCATCTTGAGGGTATTATCTCAATATTTCTGAAATGTGAACTTATGTGATACAGCGGTACATATTGTGAAATGTAGAAAATTCCTAAAACACAGTATAAGATGGTTTTGAATTCAAAAATAAATGTCATCATTCGACTCAGCAGGATGAATTAATTCACCCTCGACAGTTTCCTGGTTGATCCTAGGTCAATTGGTTGAAGTCAGGAATCTCAGGAAAACGCTTATAACTCTTTAACGAGACAAGCTAGAAAAGTTGATCTTTCGTAGATCGAAAATCACATTAAAATTTCCACCTTTTTCAGCGTTAAAGAATCGGCACGAATGACTATTGTAATTGGGTAGTACTTTCACTTTTTTGTCTTGTTTTAATATAAAATAACATCACCAAAAGATAAATATTTTCTATTAGCAGTTTTGCATGATTAAATGATATTGTTGCGTCATATGTCTGAATATAAATCGGCTGAGTGCAACATTGCAATATCTGTGGAAATCCGTTCCAATTTTTTGCACTTGGCTCTGGCAGAATGTATAAACTGGGTAGGGGTGTAATCCTAATTTTTCTGTTTCGATCAGGAATGATGCAAAAATATCAAAGCAGAGGGTATCCATAAACTGGAACAACTGTTTAAGAGTCATTCACAAAAGACCTTTATCACAAACAAAAGCAGTTTTTACGTCAATGATCAAGTGGGAGAAGGGATTGCTTTAGAGACCTGCCGTCTTTCATGAAAACACCCTACCGCTGCCAAGAGGCGGGATAGCTTTGCAAAGTTTCCCCTAAATTTTTGTAGTAGCAGAGGATAAGAGGCGTTACGCCCCTGATGATGAGAAGAAGATTTTCGCTTCTTTGTTATATTGATTCACTCCCAATTGGTAAAACTGTTTTCTAAAGTATTATCTTTTTGTCGCAAGAAGTCAATATTGATCTATAAACACGACAAATATTCAGAGCAATAGTCAATATATTTTGTTTAAATAAGCTTCATAAAAATTTCACAACTTCAAAAAATAAATTTGCCAAAATCTTTCAATACTGATACGGCCCCACGTGTAAAATACGTAGCAATGGCCACTTGTTGTTCAATTATTATTTGATCACCAGTAACGATTGCATCACTAATCGTTGGAAACCCTGCTGCTTCATACATATCATTTGTTGCTGGTGCATAAACAATATGTCTAAATAAGTAAAGCCAGAGAAGTACCTATATTTCATAGAAAATAACATCGCCGGTACATACTTCACATCGGGCTTATCTGGTCCTTGCCCCAAAGGATTTAGAAAAGCTCGCTCCAGTTGAAGAAGTTGATCGTTGTACATTCGAATTTCGAAGGGACTATTTTATTCAATAAAAGTTGTGTACCTTGTATAGCAATGACCAAGAGCTAAGACATAGATTGTTTGTAATTTACGAAAGAGGAGTACTAACAGATTAATTGTTTTTGAGTTAAGACTATGCACATTATATATGCATAAATGAGCTATAAATACCGATAAAAACGCTCGGGTTGTTAGCTCATTGTTACGGGAATACTGCATTTTAAAGGTGTGGTTTTAAATGAGGATCGTGGTCCCCCTCACAAACATCGGAAAAAATGATTTTTGAATTTCGGCCTGAAACTTTACAAGGAGATAGATCTTACCGAAAATCGTATGTTTTGAAAATTTCATACCTTTTTGCTGCGCTTATTCCTAGTTAGAACTATGATAACTTCCTTCGGATACATCAGAAGACTTGACGTACTCGTTTCAGGATATGAATAAATCAAAACATCTGAAATATTCAAAAATCATTTTTCTGATGTTTCTGAGGGGGAATCACGGCACTCATTTAAAAGCACACTGTAAAAGTGCAGTATCTCCATAACAATGAGTTAGCAACCCGAACTTTTTCCATGATATTCATAGCTCATTTATACCTACATAATGTACGTAGTTTCAACTCAAAAGCAATTGATCAGTTGGTGCCGCTTCCTCGTTAGTTTTACAATATTGCTGATAAGTCTTCATGTGCCTTGGAGTTTCTGTGTTTTAGTTCTTGGACAGTGCTCGTATTTTTTTGCTTGTAAGCTCACTTATTAAAATCTATCGAGTGCACACGAGTAGCAAACTGGTCAGCCACCACACGAAATTCATCAATAGCTGCACGAAGGGGATCTACAAGAATTCTTATATACATTGTTAATGAAGAAGACTCGCTTAATTACCGATAACTTCACCAGATAGATTCAGACTATCTAATGCTTGCTGAAGACCAATTGTATATCGAGTAACATTAAATGGTAATATTAAAGATTCTGATAAGATCATCGCCAATACTCCTGTTAATTGAGCTAGAGTTCTATGTGCCTACAAATATATCTGTCAGTAATGAAAGATAAAATGTAATCTATCATACAGCAAAAGTTGGATCGACAAATGTTTTCATTGCAGAAAATACTTCGTACGATGTATGATAAAGTGGATAATCTTCGATTCCTGCGTAATCATTCGGATTGAAGTTGTAATCCAAGTGACAGTTTGAAGAGCCAGCCAATTGAGAAAAACCAACGAAATCACTGCCTGATCCAAGACCAAGTTCAATACTAATAAGAGAAAATGAGTCTGATAATTGACCTAATGACAAGCATTTTCTTTTACATTGGCTCATTGGTTGCATTATTTCGATTAACGCTCATCCATTTATCATAAACGGTGTATCCAGGAGGATCATAAGCACTTGGTACCAGCTTTGCTGCCTCGATGATCACATCAAATAATATTGGTGATGCAGCAGCTTCAACCGTATAATTTCCTATTAAAAGAAGGTGAAGATAATTTGTTCGACGGTCAATTTGAAGTTAATGCTACTAACCACTAACAGCCACATCTAAATTTATGTATGACACGACTCGAGCGCCGAGTACTTTAACATATTCCTAAATATATGTGGTGGAATGTTTTAAAAAAAACTATGCATTAGAGAACTTGAACCTGTACGTATTCGAATGAACCAATCGCTCCATACTCTTCGGCACCCCATGAGCAAAACATTAGACTACGGCGGGGACGAAAGCCTGTTCATGATATTATTCTATAACTAAATAATAAATAGATTCAATAAAATTCTATACCATTTTTATGCATTTCACCAAAAACTCGACTCATCTCTAGCATGATAGCTGTTCCACTAGTAGGATCAAATGCACCTAATGACCATGCATCCCTGCAATTGAAAATATGATGCATTATGATAATTCTCCATAGTAAACAACTTACCGATGATTACCAATGACAACATATCGATCTTTCAAACAGAAAATGAATAAAAAATTAAAAGTTATGATAGAGGAATGTACCAGGTTCGATCTCTCCTTTTACGATTCCGATGACATCATAGGTATCACGACGTTCACGTCTGTTATATGAAGTAATTTCGATTGAACTAAATCATTTACTCGAAAGTGTTACTTAAAAACTTTATAAGACTCTTACGTTCCATTGTTCAGAATTCCTCCGTAGCGGTATGTTATATTAGCCAATTTTCCATGCCATTCTTTTGGAGTCTCTGGACCTGAGAGATATCTGTCAATATTAAATAAAGCAACCTATAATGTGTATTGATGTCGTTCATCAATATTTTCTTACTGCAAAATTCGACGAGCTTCTTCATAACCAATAGGCTGAGCTTGAACAGTAGGTAAGACTTTGATATTTTCTTCTCTAACGCGATACATGTAGTCTATGAAAACATATGTTTAAAAGAGAAAGACATAACACATAACATATATTGATGATGAGCAGCGAACGTAACATGTTCTTCTCCTAGATTTAGTTTGAAACTGTTTTCTTTCGATAATATCTCGTTTCTAGAAACAAAAAAGGAATTATTAACTCACATCTGTTCTAACGTTTCAGAAAGTCAACTAATTTGTTAAAGGAAAAGAAAACATGGGGTTTTCAGTCTTTGCTAATATAAAAATATTTTCATGATCGGAAACCTGTAGATGGATAGCCAGGTGTTAGTGGATCACCATCTGCCGCATAAGCAGTGCCTCTTTGTGTGCCACTTTCTGGCATATACCAAGTTTGATTATAGGTTTTATCAGGTGTAGTGCCTAGGGGAGCATAGTCTGCTGGATCATTGTATAAAATAACACCAACAGCACCAGCATGCTGAGCATTCATTATCTGTCAATCAAACACTTGTTTACTTGAAGAATTATTCAAAAAATAAATTCTTACCTTATCCGCACGAAAAATTCGTCCATACCGTATTATTATAATACTACCACGAAGTTCAGCTGTTCCAACTAGGTTTGTAAGCACTTGAATATCTTTGACTGTACCAAAGTTAGCATAAAATAATTTTGACTATAGTTGCATCTTAGATAAGATGAAAAAAAACTGAAATAATGAACTTACACTTGTTACAGTGCCATTAAGTGTATAAGCAAGAAATGGATTGACTGTTTTAGGCTGTGTTGAATCATAGATTGCTTCAACACCAGCCGTTTGAAATATAACAGTGTTACCATTTTTCAAAGTTACTCTAAATATAAGATGTAACATGAATCGGAAAATGATATAATGATGAAAATAAATCGGTATACCGATTTGGATTGTTTTCATCGGGATATGAAAGAAGTACATTGTACCTTGGCTTAGTTACTTCGAAACCATCATTCAACCATCGTTTTTCGATTACTTCAGCACTTTCCAGATCTTCCGCTAGACCAGCCAAATGTGGTTGTGATGTAAGATCTCTAGAACATAATAAATGTTTGTTTCAATACAATTTTATTCTATGAGTACCTAAGGTTGTCTTCAATATTAGACGCTTGAATCGAATCAATGAAAACTTTATAGTTTTTTGGATCCGGTTCCCGCAAAAGGAAATCATACTTCGAAGATTTAATATTATTTGAGATAGCAAAATAACCGATAATAATGCCTATACCGAATGTAAGTATTGCTATGGCTATCGATATGAAAATTGTCCACTATAAATAGATTCATAAAATTATATTTAACATCTTAATATGCTATGAATAGTTCACCCTATGCGTCATTATTTATCTACAAGCAGAAGTGAAGTAAAACATTTATATAATAAGCAAAGAGATTTTTGAAAACAATGAGACAAAAGAGTAATGACAACACGCACCTGTTGTTTTGCTCTACTCAAAGATAAAGTTTTTCCTTTTTTCAAAATGTTAAGATATGGACATGTATATATATATACTGATATTGTGTATTCTGATAATATAAACCTCGATCTCAGTCTTTTTTGTTTGACATTTGTGTTTTTGTTGTTTCTTTTTGTTACAGTGAATATGCCTCGATTCCTTAGTTTCTTGGCTTTTTCTCCTTTCGTTATATGGTATACGTATTCACTGATATCGTATGATATCATCTCATCTTTTTTCTGACTTCCAGTAACTCTTGTATTCCTTTCTCCTGTGTTCACATCACTTATATATAAACCGATGTTTTTCTATAAATAAACGAGTCGGTATTACAATTGATCAAATTAGCAGTCCCAGACAATACTCAGCCTTCTTGCCAACAGGGTGTGGTGGGGTTTTGTTTGACGCCAAAACTTCTATAAAATGCCACAGAAACCCAAAGACGACAGAATGACAGGGCGAGTAAAGGCCGCCAGAAGCAATGTTCCTCCCGAACCAAGTTTCATAAGCTCTAGCCAGCGTAGGTGGAACCCGTTTGCCATAATTGGCAATTCACCAAATGGAGAAAACCATTCAAACCGGCGGAAGGCAAGGGGAGACCACCGCTGTATATTCCCAAGCACAACATGAATAACGTCAAAATTTCCAGTCCAAATAACAGCGTGAATGGGGTTCACAGAGAGAACACCTCGCTCGGTAGAGATGGTCATGTAAGACAGGTGACCCTCGATCGTCAACAGGCTACTGTCCATACAAAAACTCATTTAAAATAGGAACTTGGAATGTAAGAACTATGATTCAAAAAGGAAAATTAGAAAACATAAAGAAAGAAATACAAAGGTTACAAGTCAATGTATTACGACTGTCAGAAGTCAGCTGGATGGGAGCTGGATCTTTCACAACAGACAACTTCACCTTATTCTACTCCGGAGGAGATCAACATGAGATAGGAGTAGGGTGTGGGTGTTGTTGACAATTATATGTAATTGGAAGAGCAATGTCAAGTCTTAAGCGTCTAGCAACTTTTAGTTTAATAAACTAACTCGATCAATAAGTGTGATTATTGTTAATGTTTTTGTTTTTATGGATAATAAAAGAAATGTTTGTTTTCGACCAGTTTCCCTTTATTTACGAATAAAGTTCATCAGGAAGTAAACAAGACTAAAAATCCATAAAAACGTATGAGAGCAATTAATAGTGAGAGCAGAAAGAAGTGAGGGAGTATAGAGGCAATGCGGGGAACATTTCAAGATATGGGGAGAGAGATAGGGGAAAAGTCAAATAATGTCTTCCAGCAGCAAGTCTATATTATCGCAATCAGCCAGTTGAGTGTCATCGATGCTGATTGTCGAGCCATTCGGTGTCGACATAGTCAACGGTGCGTGATACGTAGTTGGTTGTTGCTGCTGTTGTGGTGAATGAATAGGTGGTGTGGGTGTGGGTGTGGGTGTAATTGTGTTGACTTCGTTAAATCAAAACCACACTCACATCTCATAACCACACCCACACCCACACCCACACCCCACACCGACACCCACATCCACATCCACCCACACCCCCACACCGACACCCACACCCACACCCCACCCTAGAAATCAGACCTATGCCTGTTTTTCGTTCCCTATTATTTTGTAGTTCAAGTAACTGATAGACATAGATGAAATTTTCCTGAGTTTTTTGGATGATCGTAAACGTTAGCGGCTGTTGTTGAATGATTGCATTTTTCGGAAAATATCTAAATCGATATATAATAACGCCAGCAGTAATTACTCCAACATGAACTTTGGGGGAAAAAAATTGTTTTTGTTGACTTTTTTAATCTATTTTCCTTATAAGAACATATTTAAAAAAACACTCATATTTTCACGTTTTAATTTACGTCTATTAGGTGCAAAAAGATTCACAGCAGTTTCCTTGACTAATTTTTAAAGTTTCATCATGACTAGAAAACTCTTTTTCTCAAAAGACGTAATTAAATACTCTGATAGAGCTTAAAATTCTATCAACTTTAAACATAAAGAAAATCAAGATAAGATTGACATATACAGGTTTTTGAAGTTTATTAACGAGTGATAAGATGTGGCTGATTATTTAGAATGAGAGAGAAAGCACTATGTTTTTTTAATGATGATCAATTTAAAATATCAATTTTGCTATTTTAATGGCAATGTTCAGTTCGTAGGACACTGATGAGGAGGATACCATCATTGAAATTAATTTCTTTAACAGTCAATAGATACTAATTAAAACATAAATAGATTGAGTGATGGAAAACTCAGAGATTTTTCAAAATCTATTAATAACTCTTTAAAGATTTTTTTCAACGGTTATATATCTAGTAATTCTACTAGAACTCAATGGTATTTATTGGCATATCTCTCAAATAGATCTAACTATTTATTCAAGCTATTTGTTAATCATACTATACATAATGAGTTTTCTAGAAAATGAAAAAAACTTAATGAATAATCAGAATTAACGAGAAAGAAACAGCTATCGATAATCGACTCACGTCAGTCAAGTTCGTATGGATGCTGGTCGAAATAATTGACAGACCATTCGAACTGATCGATTAAAGATCTATATTATTTGCTTTTTTTATGTCTCCGAAGAAGAATTATCATTGAATGTCAAACTATAAAATATTCGTATTATGATAGTGTGAATGTTTTTATTCTAAATGAAGAGAAATACATATGAAAACGAAACAAAAATTTGTTTCATAAAAAGTTCATAACGTTTCTATAAATGAAATGTCACTTTTCTCAATAGTTCTGTTTGTAACTTATGATAGTCTACTGATTAAAATCGTCTGTATGAGAATCTAGTACGACAAAGGAAGAATAAATTTGTTATAGACTAATAAATAACGTCATGCAAGAAGAGTCTAGAACTATAGTTTATTCAACAAGCAATCACATTCCTTTCCTCAATATTGATTCTTAGAAGAAAAAAAAACTTATTCATTTCAGGTTTATTCTAAAATGTCGCCTGATCGCATGAAAAAAATTTCGTTGAAAAGAAAAGAAATTCTGTATCGATGTATATTCGATTAAACCATGACCATTCCAAACGATTATCTTAGATTAAAATGACGCAGAAAAGACTTTAATATATTACATTGGCACATAAGTTCTGCACGTTTGGATCAGTAGAATTATATCGCCAATATAAAACTATATTTTTAAGGCAAGTAATTATATATTCTGATAGGACTCGAGATTCTCTACCATCCTATATATTCAGGTCTTGACTGGAACCTATTCGATGAGAAATATTTCGAATATTGTCAACGCGGGTGAGAGTGTCTTCACTGTATTCAAAATATTTTTCAGTAAATAAATGTAAGTCAAGACTTAAATACATAGGATGGTAGAGAATTCCGAGTCCTATCAGAATATATAATTCCTTGCCTTAAAAATATAGTTTTATATTGACGATATAATTCTACTGATCCAAACGTGCAGAACTTATGTGCCAATGTCATAGATTAAAAAAAGTAATGACATGATTGTCGAACGAAAGAATTTCTGATTAATTATTTGCTTTTACTTGATTTTTAATAACAGTATTAACATATGATTGTCGTATGTTTCACTTCATCATCAGATTTACTTCGTATTAAATAAACAAAGAAGATGATTTCATCTTTCAGTATTTGTCACTTTTTTATATCAATTTTCTTTTGTATTGAATGATTCAATATAGGTTAGGCTCTATATATGAGAAGATAACGTTCTCTATTGCTTCGGTCAGATAGAATAATACAAGAAATAATTGAAATATTGTTGCTTCGATTCATTGAAATGGACTCTTTTCTTTTTTTGCAAGACGTATATTGTAAAGCAAACCTCCTATTTAAGAGTATTATTGTTTACCTAATTAAACATATATTAAGATAATATTTTTTTTAAAAGTCAACTATTGAAATAGAACCAATTTTTAAACACATAGAACACAAATCAATGCAATGATTTTTATGATTTAATGTCTAAGAACTTCCACTATGCATATCAGTAATTAGACATGAATTTCAAGATTTAAACAAATTAATCAAAAAAATAGTCTTTATATTCATCAATGAAATATCATTCAGACAATTTATTTACTCTGAAGACAAATATAAATAATCTTGAAACATAATCTATGGATTTTTCTCGATTTAAAACAGGTCAATTTTGTTTTGTGAAGTTCACGAAAGTAGTTTCCACCCACACCCTTATTGAAATGTTTAGCATGTGATTATCTTTGCTATTGATCTATGCAGCGATGGATTTTTACAGATTGAATATACATTTTCAAAATAATCCATTAAAGTCTATTCATAAAATTGAATAAATATTTTAAAAAACATTATGCAACTTTTGAATAAATTCTTTCTTTTGATAAAACAAAATGAAATTCATATCAGTGGAAAAAAAACATCATAGAAAATATGATTTATTGATCATATGAGAGAAATAAAAACAAATTTCAGTGTCTATATTAATAAAAGAAGTTGAAAATATAAAATATATGTTGAATAATGTTCGAATACAATCATATGAGTTCAAAAATGTTAAATAAAAACAATGTGTTGAAAATAGTTGTTAATATTAATTTAAAACAATATTGATTAATTATAAAAGTAAAGATCAATATGATATTAAAAGAAAATTAATCAATAATTTCCATATGCGTGTTGAAGATAGAGAAACATGTCATATAGAACTTTCTTTTTGTTATTTTCTTATAAATTTCATGTTGTCTGAAATGACTGATGATTATATTGGTAAGAGAGTAACGACAAGAACTATTTAGATAAATGAGTTCGTATAATCTTGCATGTCTAGAATAACTAAAAGAAAAACTCATTAGAATCTCCGTTCGGGCAAACAAGACAAATGATCTTTTGCCGCTATAAACATACGTTATTCCAATCGATATATATATATATATATATGTTCGTTCGTCTAGAAGAAAAAACAAAAGTGAAACAAGATTATTAATGATTCGCATTTTCTATCAATGATCAAACGATGAAGTTCGACGAATATGAAAAATTCAACATGTTATATGTCACACCGTGTATTTAATTCACAAATAGAAATTCTATCTAACCAAAACAAAACATGAAATATGAAAAAAAAAGAAAAAGAAAAAAAAAACATCAATGAAATCAATTTGTCATTTATCATCCATTGAACACAATGTTTTATTCTTCGAATGAGATTCATTATTTTGGCTCTTGCTTTTTCTTTTTTTTTTCTTTTGTCTTTTAAATTGATTGGAAAAAATACGAAAGAAAGAAAACAAAAAAAAAAATGTTTCTTAATTGGATGATGTTGATGAAAATGATTCTTCTTTTATATAATTACTCATGAGAATTGGATCAATATCATGTTCTTGTTCTTGTTCTTCTTTTTTTATAATATTAGGTGATGATGTTGTTGCTGATGGATAACTATCTGGTAATTTAGATTTTGTATTTGGTAATTTATGATCTTTTTTCCATTTCATTCTTCTATTCGATATTAAAAAACAAAAAAAACATTTATTTCAAATAAAAACAAAAAGAAAATTAAATGAACCTATTTTGAAACCAAATTTTGATTTGTCTTTAAAAAAGAAAGTGAAATCGAATCTGTAAATTAAATATAAAAAGAATAAATAAATAAATATATTACCGTTCGGTTAAAACAAGTGAATGAGCTATTTCAATACGTCTTCGACGAGTTAAATATTTTGAAAAATGAAATTCCTTTTCTAATTCTATTTAGGAAAAAAAACAATTTTTCATAGAATTAATTAAATAAAAATCTCTAAATATAACCTAATACTTGATGACGAGTATAAGCTGTACGAGCTCGTTTTGTTTCTCCACTTGTATAATTAATAACTAAAACATAAACTTATTTTTCAATGATTTTGAACACTTTTCAATAAAATAATTATTATTCAAAATTCAATTTATCTATTTTTAATTAGAATTCAATAGAAAAAATTAACAATTATATCATTTTCTCTATTTGGTTTTTTTTTGAAAATAAAAAGTCTTATAAAAAGTAATGATTTGTTGATAGAAATAAATAATATTCTGTTATTGAATATTGATGTTGAACTAATAAATATCGATGATGTTATTATTCTTTATTGTTTTTATCTGTATTTGAGTTCAACTGTCTGGTTAAGCAGATGGTCAAAAAGAAAAGCTTTTTCTTCTTTCTTTTTCCTTTTTTTCTGTATTTGGTTATATGTTACAGAACAACGCATTGTTAAAAATGACAGTAAACTCTAATAACTGTCGACATCGAACTAACATTTATCTTTTTATGTTATTTTAAAGTAAGATTAGGTCACGTAGTCATACAATGATAAAACCATCGTGTTCATTTATAGTCACTCTTATGATAAATGAAGTTTCATGTTCTTTGTTGTTTCTGTTTTTTTTTTTTCGGTCGAAATGCAAAGGTTAGATTTATATTCCAATGGGAATACGATACTCATCTTTCGTTTTCGTTTTTCTATATGAATCAAACTGAAAGAGAGAAGAAAAAAAAAAAAACCATTTGACATTTTCAATGTTGATATGATGAATAATGAAGTGAGATTTTCAATAGTCGTTAAAAAGATATTGACGATTTGAAAAGAGAACAAGGTGTTATAACAAATATATCGACAATAATAGAAAAACAATCTTATTGATTGACTGATCTGATTAAATAAACAATATATATATATACGATCTAATGTTCAAAAAAAAGAAAGAAAAAAAGTTCGAACCTGGATTATTAATATGTACTTTTCTCATCCATGGATAAATCACAGGTGAATTAAGTTCTTCTTTATTTAATGATGATGATGATGGAATTAAATCAATTGATGTTGATAATAATTCATTTGATGGTTCAATTGATGATGTTAAACATGGGGATGATCGACGCATACCAGGAGGAGGACTTACTGATAAACCATATAAATCAAGAGACATTGAATTAATTGAATTTATCATATCGTTTTGTGAACATAGATTTTGACCCACGGATGATAAAACATTTTCTTCACAATAATTTCCAATTAAACCATTTTGACATGGATATACACTAGAATTATTAAACGCTTTTTTTTATATATTATGATAATTCAAACGGTACAACGATCTATAGAAGTGTTTTAGAATTTCCTTTCCTTTTCTCATCCTCAATAATTTTTATTTATTCCTGCACTTTCTTTTAAAAAAAAGTGATTAGATAGAGTCTCTCCTTCCTCGTCTATCAATGTTGGCATATCGAGTAACTATTGTATTTATATTAATTATTTAAAAAAAAAAAACTAATTTTAAAATAGTCGAGATAATTACCTTGATTGATTATTTGATGTTGATGAAATAAGATTATATCGATAAAAATGATTTGTATTATCTTGATAAATATCATTATTATAAATAGATATTTGTCGAGATCCTCTTTCATTAAAACATTCTTGTTCATAATAATCAACAATAGGAGTTTGTAGAACACATGAAGAATTATTTACATTGACATTATTATCGGACAACTGTTGTCGATTTGAATAATTTACATTTCTACTATCGACTCCATAAGTATTATTATTATTATTATTATTATTATTATTATTCATTAAATGAAGAGAAGAAGAAGAAGAAGAATAAAGAGAACTCATCTTTTTCTTTTTTTTTTTTCTTGATCGAACGATCAAATAAAAAGATAATCGTTTTTCTCTCTCTTTCTGTCTGGTGTTTTTGTTTTGTTAATGATGATACTCAACTGAGTGAAGAACTTGGAATAAAATATAATTAATGATTGTAGAAATATTCTTCAAGATCGAACGATATACTGATGAAAGAAATCGAAGTTAAGTTTAGTGACAGAAAATGATCCATTAAATTGCTTAATGGATATAATAAAAGAAGAAAAAAAAAGGTCGACAACGATTTTTCTTCGATTTTCTTTTGCATTGACATGACCGTTCGAACCAATCAACATGTTTCTTTTGCTCGTTTTTTTCTTATTGGTCTAAAGAAAAGAAAAAAAAAAAAAAAAAAAAAAGCGAAAGGATACTATTTCTTCGTGTTTCACAGAATAAAATCGATCATCTTCTATAAAGAACAATAATTAAAGAAATAAATCTGATGTTTTTTTTTTCATGGCCATAAACAGAGACATAACAAAAAAAAAATAACACGAAAAACGAAAAACAAGTGAGAAGAATCTTATTCAAAGTTGTGATATTATTTATAGAAGATCTATATTCAATAAAAACAAATTTTAGAAATCAAACCTGTTGCCAACAAACAATTATCAGTAGGGGGAGGAAAAAAAACGATTTAGAATTTTCAGATAAGAAATAAATAATATACATGTTGATTATTGTTCAAATAAAGAAGAAAATTTTTTGTTATACTTTATTAGAAGTAACATATTCTGCATGAATAATCTTATTTATCAATCAATTCAAGTGAAAGAATTCCAAGTTTAAAAATAACGTTATATTGAAATTCCAAACATAGTTCATATTCTTTACCTCGAACGTTGGTTTTTTTTTGTGTCATTATTCATTTCCTTTTTAAGAACGTCAAAAATTGATAGTTAGATATAGGATTAATCTATAATAAAAAGAGATGTTCGAAATCGAAAGAAGGATCAGAAAACTTTTGATAAACTTAATAGTATTAATTAAATGAATAATCAATAATATTGTTTAATAAAAAACCATATTCAATGGATCTATCTGAATTTTCTAAATATATATGATCGAATATTATTATTAAAATTTCTTTGAAAATTTTCTATTGATGATATTATTTTTGTAATATATCGAATCTTTATTTGAAATTGTTAAATCATATAGCTAACAAATAAAATAAAGAATATCGAAGAACTAAAGAAAAAAACAAAAAGCTCATTAATCTTTCTGTCCTGAATGTTTTTTTTTCTTATGTTGTCGGTCGATCTCTTTTGAAATATAAAAGTTTAAATTTTGATAAAAAAATAAAAACAACATTTAACATGATGAAAACGATAAGAAAAAAATTTACAAAGTTTATTATTGTTTTTATTTTTTTTTGTCTTCTTTTGTTAATGTAGAAGTAAATATAAATGTGGTTGTATTAGAAATGACATAATCATTGTCTTGTTCAATTCAATGAAAACTAAAGAATAGAATTTGAGCTTAATGATCCGATTGATGTTTAGTTGTTTTATGAGAAAAAAAGTACATTGAATTGTTTCGATGTTAATGAATATTTAAATAGATTGAACAACAGCGGTAAAAAGTCTGTCACCCACTATCGATAATTAAAAACAACTTTTTCTTTTACCCATGTCCTTTTTCTTTTCTCTCTTTATTTATTATTCAAACTTAGTTTTCTATTCAAAATCTTTATTTAATCAAACAAATAAAATATTAACTAATCAGAATCGTTATTCATATTTTAGAATTTTCTCTTCTTTATTCTCAGAACATTTTTTTCTTAATTGAAGAGAAAATATTAGAATGTGAATTTGTATGTTCTCTCTTCAATAATATCCATCAACATTTCGCCACACCTACACATTACCATTGATCGAACAAAATGGCATAAATGACCTAAATATTTAATAGAATATACGCCTCTATAAACTTTAATACTACAAACAATTCAAAGCTCTATTTGATTCTAATCATCAGTTATGAAGCACTAAAATTGCTAAAAAAGTGAAGTTTGATCATATCGGATGATCTATTAAAATGTAAAGCATCAGTGTTTATTCTGAGTATAACTTATTGGTGATATATGTCAACACAAACAATTTCAGCTAAATCGGTTAATCCATTCTTGATCTATGTTCCTATGAAGATTTCCATCGATTGATATGTAGTTTTTTATGACTTTCTAAAAAAAAAAAAACATCCAGAAAACATTGATGGTTTAGTATTATTTGAAAAGAGGAGTAGTTCCAATAATGGTTTAAACCGAATAGCTAATATGCGAAATTAAATTATAAGATTTTCCAATAGAGAAAATCGATCTCTATTAGTTAGTTATATTTGGCTATCATATAAAAGCCTAATATTTTTCGTATGTATTTAATTCGAGTCAAGTTCCTCACTATGAAAGAAAATATGAATGTTCTCAGAATCAGCTCAACGAGCTTGATCTACTAATGATATAGATTGATGATCTGAGATTGTTTGTGTCTTTTTCAAATACCTATGTCTGATATAATTATATCTTGATGACTTTATTTATGTAATGATATTCATTACAGATATGCACACACATCTTAGATCTAAACATTATAATCTATATTCTTAGAGTAACATGATGCATATTTCTCTGTCAATTTTCGTTGTTGTTTTTTATTGTAATAAATAATCATCTATAAATTATATTTTAACATATTTTTTATGGTTAATCTAAGTAGGATTAATTTAAATACAATCAATCAAACTTAATTCGATTCAATCTGTATTATTTTCTTTTTTTCTTGTGATATTCTTAATAATAGAAAATAAATATTTAAAACTAAGATAACAAATCATATATTGTTATGAACATGTTGGATTATCACATGGCCATGATCGACGTTATGTTTGTGAATTGTATCTAGTACATATTTTATCACTATTTCCACTATGTCCATGACCTTGATGACAAGGACTATAACCATTAATAATTGATGTAAATATCGTTTTATCAATAGGACCTTCAACATAATCATGAAAATCAATATAACCAGTATCAAGATCTTCTCGAAAACGTATTGGAATATGTGAATCAACTTGAGTATACATATTACGAATATTACGTACTGGTCCTTCACCAGTAAAATTAGAAAACTATAAAGAAAAAAAAAATCTTTAGTTTAATCTTAATCATATAAAAAAAAATACCCATTCAATCATCCAGAAATCTGCTAGTTGTCCATTAATAAGGATTGTTCCATTAAAAGTAGCATTACTTTAACATAACCAATCCGGTTGCCATGCTGGAAATGTATAATTACAACATATTTGAACTGATAGATAAACATAATAATTTAGTCCTTGATAAAAAAAATTCCACTACATGGAATATAATTCTGATCAATACCAGATTGATATAATTGTAAAAAAGGACACATTGGATAAAAATCAGTTCGAATTGCTTGATGAGATTCATCATACCAAAAATAACCCCAACCTGTATCACCATTTGACATATTATAATATGTTGTTGCTGCTGACCAAGATGATGCCATAATAGGTGGAATTTTCCATGTTCGAATATTATTTTTATTTTTATGTTTTTTTAAATGAAGAAACAACACACATTGTTGTATTGAATTGATCTTGTGTATCAGTAGATGGTATTAGAACAGAAATACATTGAAGACCATCACAACAATGAAAATCTGTTGAAGATAATAATGATTTATTACAATTTAAACGATTTTCATTCATACAACGAACATTTGATGGACAATATATTGTACTTTCATTTATTTTAATTAAAATAAAAATAATTGTAACTAATTTAATAATCAAATTTATTTTTGTGGTAAATTTCATTGAAACGAATAAAATAATGTTGACTTCTACATATGATAACAAATAAATAAAGAGCAATATTTGCAAGATGACAATATATTTTACTTTTATTTTTATAGTTATTCAAAGATATTAAAATAAGCTTTGTCATCATAACTTCAGAAAAAAAAACTTATATTTCCTATTGCTCATGAACAAATAAAAATAATTTATTGTTTGTTTTCGATATTAGAAGACGATTTAGTATATGCTAAATGTAATTTACGCGACACACAAACTCATTTCACTTGCTGGAGACACGTATGTTTTATCTGAGACTTTAATTCAATTGTTGAGCTAACATATTTAAATACTCAATTATTCATGGAAACATACGGTACCCCTATCTCGATGTGGATGCTACGAAAGCAAAGATAGTGAAAGTCTCTCAATGAGGATACTACTGAAATAGATACAAGAAACGATCAATTATTAAAATATCACTTTCCACATATTAATATCTCTTGAGTGTTGTTCAATTTTGACAAAATAGAATTCCGATGTACAATATTTATCATATATTTCCAGTTTGTAGCTAGCTTTATCCAATTCTACATGTTGGTCAAATGAGAAGAATAAGTGACTGATTTGAATTATCACTGATAAAATTTTTATTGAGATGGAAAGATTATAGATATATATTTTTTTAATATTTACTTCTAGAGTGTTCTTTTCGTTCTTACCTTATGTTTGAGTTAAATGTCTGTCAATTTAAGTTTAAGATAAATTTAAATCTTATATTTATCGCAAAAAAAAACTCGCTAAGTTTTAAATAAGATCAATTTTCTATTAGAATACGTTTCTTTTTCTCAACAACAATGATTTTAAGATTTAATTCTTAAAATAAAGACATTAGTGTCAAAATGAAGTAATAAAACGAATGAAATTTCATAAAAAACGAGTCTATCGATAATTTAGTCTCTTCTATTACGTTTCACCGTTGGTTGTAGAATTATTTTTATAAAAAACGTAAAGTACCTGTAAAAATAGTTTAATAGTTGATATGATTAAAGTGCAGTCAATGCATATATGTCTGGTAATGATACATTATTAATATTAAGAATAATTGATAAATTCTAATTATTTTCTATTAACCGTAATTTTTTCAGTTGATAAAATTGTTTCATTCGATCAGTGATTTTTTTCAAATAGATCGAATATTTTGTTTTTTCTATTCGAAGACGAGGTAAGTAATGCATAGAATTGATCTTAATATTCTTCAATCAATTTCATCAAATATTTAAGTAATTAAATTATTGTTTTATTTGAAGAATCTTCTTTTGAAAGATTGAATAAAATTTATTGTACATTTTCAGTAACATTAATTATTTATTCAAGAAACGAAAACATCGTTATATATATATATATATATATAACCAATAAATATTTGCCTCTTCGATCTATCAAATTCAAAAATACTTTTATTTTTGAAACAATGTTCTTATTTATGTCAATCATCTTATTTCTACCGAGTTAGTTATATAATTGATTAATCTTTAATAATTTCTTAATTGTCTATAGAAATCGAAAGTCAATGGTCTTATTATGGTAACAGAGAGATTCAATGTTATTCTTGTAGTGATTGTCCCGAACCATTTTATCATATGCATGGTCAAATAACAATAACACCACCAGATTTTGGTCAATGCATGGTATTCAATTTTCTATTGAGAAAATAAAAATAAAAATTTTTTTATATAGAAAACGGTGGTTTATCTGCCGACAACACATCGATATTTAATAAGTAAAGGTTTTTCACGTAATTGTATACCAGAATCGACAAACGATGTACGAGTTTATTGTTGTCATTATAATCTTTGTAATAGAAGCCATATTATACAACAATCAATTATTTTTATTATTATTTTATTTATAATAATTAGATTTTATTCAATTCAATAATTGACGTTTCAAAACGGAATCAGTAAATATTCATTGATCCTTATAATCGAAACAAGATTGTAACATTCGATTTTCTGTTAGTTATTCTTCTATTGATATTTGAACGAATATTAAACTGTTCTATCTTTTTAATATTTATGTGCATTGAAAAATAATTAAACAAGAAATATATCACTAATTTTTATGCACAATTAAACTTTATAAATTTCCTTTAGATTTATTTTAATGAAAACAATAAAGTTTAAAATTAGTCTTGTTTTTTATTAACTCATTGATCAGAGACTTAATTTATGCTATAAAAAAAATATTCTTTGAACATTTTTTTTTTGTTTATTTTTAAAAGTTACGATCAAAACTTTTCAATAGAGGATTTTTATCTTACACAATATAATATAGACAAAGGAAAATAATCGATTAAAATCCTTTGAAAATTAATATAGTTCATCAAGATTTATTTCTAGTGAAAATACAAAGTTATACTTGATCATGTCATTCAAGTAGGATTTTTTTGATAAGTTTTTACTAATTAGTATATTCATATCAATTTCTTAATGCTCTTTATAATTGCCATTGACTTAATTATGATGAGATCGAATATTGCACGAATAAAAGTAGAAATATGATTGAATCTTCATTGAACATCGAAATTGTTCTTTGTCATAGAATGTGAGATAATTCTTATTATATTCATTTATATAGAAGTTCATATCTGGAAAGTAGAATTTAAACTATGTCAATCAATATTATTCAAGATGAGATGTAGATCAAAAGTACGCCAATTTTTAATATAATCGTTATATTAGTTTCAGAGTTGCAGCAATATTTATAATAAGACTAACGTTAAATAATAATATGATAATTAAAGAAAAATACAAAACAAATAATTTGAGACCAAAAAACATGTAGAGATTTGTTGTTAGTCATTTTCATCGCATAGTTGATTTTACTGTTTTGTCAATGATTAATGAACAATCGTCTGTATAATATATTTTATGAACAATAATTAGAGTTTAAGAGAATAACAAAAATAATTGAGTGATAAAAATATATATGAAGGATTAAATCTTTCGATAACACTAAAATGTATTCAATTTTTAAACAACTTAAATATATATATATATAGTTTTTTCGATGATTCTATCATATTGTATTTGTCATTATTTGCAAGAATAATATATGTAATTTATTTTTGAAATATATATAAAAGAGATGATTGATCGAAATAACATATTATGAAATATCTATTTAATGTCATTGCTTATCTTATTTATCTTAACTCTTATATAATATAAAACGATCTTTTCATTGAAATTAAAAAGTTAAAGGTCATCGAGATTTGAATATTGATCAGCAAGAAGAATATGTTTCATTGAAACTACTTCAAGAATAAAATATTTCACTTTATGCTCAGTTGTTGGCAATATATCGATACAAATATTGCAATAAACTGTTGAGAAGTTCATTATTTATATTGAATAATGAATAAATAATATCTCATCAGATGATGAATTCAGAAGATAAATATAAGGTCAAATCATATTTTATTGAGACAAAGACACTTTTCTCAAAGGTAAAACATATGTATATGTATGTTTATATCGATTGTTTGTTTATAATCGCTTTTGTCAATGGGTGTTTGTAGCTGTAGTGTAGTGACAGTCACAGCCACATCCTATACTTCGAAGATTGCTATTAAAATCTATGATAAAAAATGTCGAATTACAAAAGACAAAAAAAAATAAATGTCCATAGAATCAGAACTAATTATTTGAAACATAGGTCAGTTCATTTGGTTAACACAAATAAAATATTAGACAAATGTAAAATAGAAATTAGAAAATATATAAATAATACGATTAATTAACTATAGTTATATATTAGTCAACTGTAGATTAGACTTCAATTCTAGCATATTTAAATAATAACCACAGCTTTCCTTAGTTCGATCTAATTATTTGAATAATTGTTCTGTTATATTCGATATAGTTTTGTATTTGTTCTATAATTGTTTTATTGTTTATTGAGATAATTCATTAATTGAATATAGACAAAAGATATTCTCGATATTATATCGACTTCAATGTTAAATAAAAAATAAAAATATTATTCTAATATATTTATTTCGTTTAAAATCATACTAAGTTTAGTATGTGTTTTTCTTTTTATTATTGATCGTTTGTAAGAATAGTCATAAGACTGTCTCTTAAATCACGAAAACGTGGTCGCATAGTAACATTATATGTTAAACAAGAAAGAATAATGTGCGTATATGCTTCAATGGAACCAAAATTTTGTGGTTGTGGAAGAAAATCACTAATATTTTCTGACGAATTTTTTAATAGAATATGAACAGCATAATTGTTGATACTTCCAAAGGGTCGTTCACCCAACGAATATATTTCCCAAAGAGTTATACCCTATTTTAATTAAATAAAATAATAATAATTAAATTAAAAAAAAAAACGAATTTATCATACATAACTCCAAACATCTGAACGAGAAGAATATTTTGATAAAAATAATGCTTCAGGTGATGTCCAACGTGGAGCACATACTGAATGACCACTACCTTTGTACAATCCACAATCAGTCAATCTTAATTAAAACAAAACAAATATTTTAATTTTTTTTTTTTTTTCTTTTTATCATACGTAGTTAAACCAAAATCTCCAACTTTAAGTTTATCATGTTGACCAATTAAACAATTTCTAGCTGCTAAATCTCGATGAATAATATTTCGTTCTTCTAAATAAAGCATAGCTTCAAATATTTGTCTTCCAAAATTATTTAATTTTCTTGTTATTATTTGAGAATCAGATTTTAAAAAAATTTCTCGATATTTTCTTAAATAATTTAATAAAGAACCATTTTTCATAAAATCTGTAACTAAACTTAATTGTTGTTTATCACCAAAAAATGTAACACCAAATATACGTAAAAGATTTGGATGTTTTAATTGTGTCATAATATGTGCTTCATAAAGTAATTCATGCATATTTTCATCATAAGTATCAAACGAATATTTTGATGTATTTTCATCTGGAATATATAAGGTTTTTAATGCAATATCACGTTTACCTTTGTATGATGCATAATAAACAATACCAAAATTACCTTTACCAATTTCACGAACATTCTAGTTTTTTAATAATAATAAAAACAAAAACAAAAAAAACATTTAGACAAAAATTTTCAAATAATATAAATAAATTGATTTACAAGAAGTCATTTTCAAATTTTAAATTGTTCATCAGTTTGAACTATGTGCTTAATGTAGCTGTTTATTCCTTATGAATATTTCAAAGAGAATTTAGACACCTAGCATATTATTGATAAGTTAGTGTATACTTATGAATATTTCTTAGTATAATGTCGTGATTCATTATCGAGAACATTGAAGTAATTATCTTTAGAATTTCAACTGACATATTTGAATAGATAAAAACCTTAATGAGAACAGTTTATTATTTAAATTTAAGATCATTTTCTTTTTTTTCTTTTATAAAAAAATGGTTATAGTAAAAGCATATGATTTTTGTTTTTACGTCGCTGGTAGACATCGACAGATTACGATGTTTTTTTGTTTCACGAAAGGAACAATTTAAAAAAATGTCAAAATCTGAGAGTAAACTTGTTCTTATATCGATCTCATTCAATTCAAAGTTTAAATTTGAATTATTCTATTGTTTCGAAGTATAATTATTGACGACATTGTGCTAAAGAATAGTGTAAATACGTTATATATCGACAATAATAATCTAATAGAGTGAGATTTTTTTTTCCCCCATGTATTCATACCTGAGTAGAACCTCGAAAATACATATTTTTTTGAGTGAAAAATGATTTGATATTTGGTAAGGTTACCCTTGCCAATTATCAAGTACATTGAATTGATATTTTTATAATAATATTTGTTATTAAATGACGAAATTTATTTCAGTATGAAATTGATATAATTAATCGTCATCATTGCTAGATGAAAACAAAGAAAAAAAGTTGTTTTTTTTTTTGTTTCTATTGATATCATTAGTCAATAATGACTACCTATATGGCATTATTATAATAGTATTGTAATTTATTAGTCTTATATTAAAAAATGATTAAAAACAAACGAGTGAGAATTAAACATAATCAAGATTAAAATGTTGTCATTTTACTTTTAATCTAATTGAAATAAATTTGTTTATGTTTGCTAAAAAGAGAAAAAAATGAATGAAATCGAATTCTGTTATAAATATTGTGATCAAGCGTGACTAATTGTTAATAATCTAATATTTTATAGAATTGAAAACTCAAGATATTAAATAAAACTAATAATATATATATATCAATTATTATTTCTGTTGAGAAATTTTGTCTTGATTTTGTTTTAAATTTCAAATAATAAAAAAAACTGATGTTTTAAATCGATATAATTAATAAAAGAAAAAAAAATATAAAATTACCTGAAATTCATGTGGTTGAATTAAAACAAGTTGAAGATCTGATGAAATTTTTTTTCTTGAACTTTTCAAAGGAAACTTTTTATCGAAATCATTTGTTGAAGATGATTTTTCAATGTTTTCAAATTGAAATGATTGTGTTGTTGTCTGAGAAGTTGATGATGAATTAAATTGTTTTCGTTTGGCATGACTATTTAATAATTGTTCAGCTGTAATAACAGTCGTTGAACTTAATATATGATCAGTTGATCGACTTTTTCTAATACCAACTTGTCTTTTTCTCTTATTTGTATCAACAGGAGTTTTTTCTTTTTCTTTTTCTTTTTCGATTTGATTATTTGTAGATGGTTCAACGACGTTTACTTGTTGATCAAATTTTTTATCATGAAATGAAGATATTAATTGATGATGTCTATACAACGTTGCTTTTTCGATAGTAGATGCAGGACGAGTATCTTTATTAACATTATTTTTTTGAGTATACCGTTTTCGAGATAAAAGACTGCTACTAAAACCAGAATTTTGTGTATCTGAATCTGAATATTGTTGTTGATGTTTTTGCACCGATGTTTTCGAACCCATTACTAATTTATTTCTTCATAAAATGATTTGAATAGGTAAAAGAAAAAAGGAAGAAAAAGAAATATGTCTCATTACAAAACAATCATACAAGTGAGACCGATTGATTTTTGTTTTTACCCAGTAACGATACAAATAAATAACTTTTCTTATCTTGTGTTTTTATTTATGTGATAATGAGTCAACATGGGATTTATCCGTCAGTATATATGTCTACGTTAACGATTGTTTTTTCTCTTGTATGAATATCAATGTCGCATATTTTCACCATTGTTCTTTCAACATAATTTTTTTTTCTTGATATAATTATAGATGAGATCAGAGTTCGAGTTGAATCATCAAAGTAGTCAACAGAATTCGGAGGACTTTCTAAAACTGACTTTGTTCATCGCCGGTTTTTTTTGTTATATGAATTGTTTTAGGGAATTGAAATTAGTCTATTTTGCTCGTTTTTTATCGATTTCGATAAATGTCAAGTTTATTATTGTGAAATAATATTAATCAATTGTTAGAATATATAAAGAATTAATATTTAATCCTATTGATAGAAATATATGAATAAAGAATCTCTTTTATTGATAAACGTATATTCAATAAGTAAGATCGTGCAAGAATGAATATATCTATCTTTTAAAACAAACATAAACAATATGAACTTGAATATAAAATTGTACTTTTTTTTGTTAACTCATTTTATTTATCAATGTAGAAGAATATCATTTTATGAATTGAGAATAGTTGAATTTTGTTTAAAAATGATATATTTACAGTAGAAAGTCAGGTTAAATAAACAATATATGTGTGTGTTAAATATTATTTATATGTTTATTAGTGGATGAAATGTTTCGTACAATTATCTTTGATTGTTCTCTCGTATTAGTGTTTGTTGAACGTGACTAAATAAAATAAAAGTTGTTACTATTTTGGTAGAAATTCTATGATTCATATCAGTTTGACATATGAAACTTTTGTTAAATTCGATGGATAAATTTTTCTCAAAAATAAAAAATTAATAAATTAATTTCAATATTAAATGAGTCAGTTTTTCACTGATAATTTCTTATTTAAGTGAAGATATTCAAACTATGAATTTGATCCTATTGAAAAAAGAATCTTACCGATTCCCATAATGAATAGAGGTTCTTTTTTTTTCATCTTAAACTTTAGTCAATTGTCTTTCTATGAATAAATAGAAAGTTGAGAAGAATTTTGACTGAACTAAATAATAAATAGTTATTACTTATTTTGTTTTTTTTGTTAACGTCCATAATAATTCTAGAGAAATGCTTTATTTTGTTCATTTTTACAAATATCGTTTTATTTTTAATATACTTTATTAACAAGCCAAATTAATATTTAAACAGACAATTTTTATTTTATTTGTCAAATTTTTCTAATCTAATCAATGAACCATTTTCTATGAAAATCTATTGATTATATTTTAATGTTATTGTTTCTTGTTAGAATTTTAACAATGAATAACTTTTCTAACATATTTACACTAATAGAACAGACAAATATTCATAGATTATTTTAGCTTAAACTTAAAGAAAAAAAAACTCGAATGAAACTAAAATATTTAAATCATAAATTTTTCAATGAGGAAAAAAGAAAAAGTTATCAATAAAAATTTAAACCAAAATAAAAAGTCTTTTATTTTTTTATGATTCGATAATATAATGTTAACGTAAACTTTTATTGTCAATATAACAATAAGAAAAAAAAAATCTTTTCGAAATGAGAAAATATCTCATTGAAAATAACAAAAAGAAGAAGAATTTTTATAATTCAATATTAACTGATTTTAAAGAATTAATAATCCATTGTGGAATATCTTTATCTTGATAATAATTTGAAACAAATTCTTTTATAAAATCTGGAAAACGTTCTTCAATAATTGATTGACGAATTCGAGACATTAATCTCATCTAAATAATAAACTATATATATATGTTAAGAAACATTAATTAAAAAAAGAAACCTGATATGCAACATTATGAATTGTAAGTAAATGACATGCTGTTGTTTCTTTAGTAACAATTGTATTAAGATATGATCTTGTATAACCATATTGACAAACAGGACAAATACATTTATCATCTATTAAACGATGATCTTTTTCATAGATTTGTTTATTTAAATTTAATTGTCCATTATCAACTAATGCACATCCAAAACGCTTTTTTTTTTCAAATTTAATAAATAAATATATGATTTTTTTTATTTTTAAAGTAAATAAATAAATAAACTTACAGCTGTTCGAGTTGGAAAAACACAATCAAACATATCACAACCAAGAGCTGAACATATAACAAGATCAATTGCAAAACTATTTTATTTAATTAAATTAGAATCATATATCTTATAGACTAAATTAAATAAATAAACAAACCCAACACCCATTAAATATCGCGGTTTATCTTTTGGTAAATAATCTGTTGAAAGTGTTACCATACGCCAAAATTCATCTTTATCTTCTCCACCACTTAATCCACCTATTGCATAACCAGGACAATCACGTTTTATTATTTCTAATATAAAAAAAAAACAATATCATCAACACAAGGTTTTTTTTCTTTTTTTTTTAATTTAAAATAAAATAAAAGTAAAACCTTTAACAGATTGTTCTCGTAATTGTGGATTAAGACCACCTTGAATAATAGGAAAAAGACTTTGTTCATCGGGACGAGAATGTGCTGATATACATCGATCAAGCCATCTTAGTGATCTTTTCGTTGTTGTTTTATAAAAAATTTCGAAATAAAAAATTTCATTAAATTAAAATCAAACCTCCACATAGCTTCTTCAACTCTTGGACCAGTTAATGTACTTGATACAACATCATCTAATTGCATTATTATATCTGCTCCTATTAACAAATATACTTTTTTCAATTTATCGAATACATATTTATATTTATTGAACAAGATTTAAATAAAATATTTATTATTAATGTTATTTTTTATAGTGAATATGAAAAGATCAAACGGTTTGATGGGTTTCTTTTTTTTCTTTCAATAAAATTTACTTAAATATTAATATAAATCAATATTTATTACGAATATTTCTTTCTTATTTTCTATCTCGAATAAATTCAACTTATAGAAATAAATAAATTTTAGTAAAAAAAACAAATAAAACATTAATATTCTTTTCATTTATTTTTATTATAAACTTAATGAATATTGTTTTAATTTATTCATTAAGAAATCAATTTATTAATCTTTTTTTTTTTTGTTAAAATAATTATTTCTTTTTTGAATATAAGAAAGATTTTATATTTAATATTCTGATAATTGAATAACTAACTAAATAATGTTTCTCAATTGTATATTAACAAAAATTTTTATTTTCTACATTTTATTTAATTGAGGTTAATACACAAATATATTTATTAAATTAGGATTATTTATCTATTAATTCAATATTGAACAGTGAGAATCTTCTCAATATAAATTATCCAAAATATAACAAGAACGTTTTTCGAACATAATTTTTCTTGAATTTTCAATCATTACGGTTCACGAACAAATGACTGTAAATCGACGTTTTCGTAGCATATCAACGCCGTAAAGATGTTTTAATACTATCGTATTACTATTGATGTATTGACCATAAAATCCGATAAGATGTGTTGTATTTCATCGTATACGAATCATATGTCTTTGATTAAAAAAAACAAAAACAGATTGATATTTGTTCGTATCTTTATCATCGACAAAAGCTAATAAAGTTGATTATATTATCGATTAAACTACCTTACTATGAATAAATATGTTTTATCAGAAAGTTTTGAAGTATGATCATCATTATATATATATATATATGAATAACACTTTAATTAAAAACTGATTGATTTCATTTTCAAGAAAAATCATTTTTGTTCATAGTCTTGTTTTGTAATTAGTAAAAAACAAAAAGATTTTCTTTAACTATAGAAAAGAAAAGTTTATTTATTAATTTGAAATAATTGTGAAAAAAATAGAGTAATTGAAATCAAAAAAAAATCTTACCAATAATATTTTGAATTTCAATTGATTTTTCAGGTGTTAATAACATTTCAGTTTGATCATGTGGAGATTGAAATTTAACACCTTCTTCAGTTACTTCAGATAATTTAACAAGAGATACCATTTGAAAACCACCTGAATCCTATTTTATTTTCATACATCATTAATAAATAAATAAATAAATAAAAGAAAAAAAAAATAATTTACTGTTAAAAGTCCTCCATCCCAATGCATAAATGAATGAAGACCACCCATTTCCTTCAGTAATTCAGGACCCTTAATTAAGTTTAAATTTAACAAAAAACAAACAAAAACTGAACAATAAAATAATTAATTAATAAATTACTGGTCTATGTCCTAAATGATAAGTATTTCCAAGAATAATTCGACAATTAAGTTGATGTAATTGTTCAGGTGTTAATCCTTTTAATGTACCTTGTGTACCAACAGGCATAAAAACAGGTGTTTCAATTGGACCACGAGATGTATGATTTCGACTAAGTTTTAAACGACCTACACGAGCTTTTGTTGTTTTACATGTATGAGTTACTTCAAAATGAAGTGCATTCGATGACATCTTCAATAATGAATGATTCCTTAACAAAAAATTTAACATTAAATTTCGAAAAATCCTTTAAAAGTTGCGTTTTTTTTTTCAATAAAACAAAACTATCATTCAAATCAATGGTTACTACATTCTACTAATAAGAATAATATCTATAGAGGACACCATTCATCACATTGACAAACTATTCGAATATTGGCTTTTTTTTGTTTTGTTTGGAACTTTACCAAATTGTTATTTTCATAGAATTAGCAACGATCCACATTCTTTATTCTTTTTATTTGACATGAAAATATATTTGGTTGATTTTCTCTTTAATGTACATTTATGGAAGAGCAAACTAAAGATGTTATTAAGAATAGATATACTAATTATTGATTTTATCTGAGTGAAGACACTTGCTCACAATAGAAAGCCTCAAATTTTCTATTATATCTAAGTATATAAAGTTTTTTAGAGCCTTGCTCTTTAATCATGCCCTTATTTATATTCATGGTTTTAAATTAAAACAGTTTTACAAAAAATTAAATCCATTCTTTGATTTTAAACAAGACTTTTATAATTTTATAACTTCAAAAATAATATTGGCCTCAATCTTTTTAGTTTTTCGAAGATTTTCAACTTAAAAAAAATAGTAGAGATTAAGATAAGTTTTGTTTGTTGATAATTGAAAAACTGCCATTGCGATTAGTTCTAATTCTATTCAAACTTAACAAAAAAAAATACGAGAGAATGAATGAAATACTATATAATATCTCAAATGTAATAGTATAATCGTATATATACGAACAAGACTCATTATCTAATAAACGAGTCTTTTTTTTAAAAATCATTCAGAGTAAACAAATAATATAAAATTAATATTTAATTAGACACATTCAAAGAAAGTATAAGATCTATCGATATTCTGCATTATGATAAAAAAAAATATAATAAGAAGATTGTTTTATTCAAAAATATTCTATTAGAAATATATATTTCAGTTAGATGCATCAATCCAAATGAGACTATTCAAATATACTCAATAACAAAAACTATAATACTTGTTACTATGATTCGAGATAAATCTTCGATCAAATTCACTCAATTCATTTTAAAAATCATTATTAGACATATATATGATTAGAAAGATTTTCAATCTTGAGAAGCCAATTGTTTTCTCGAAATGGAAGATGGAAACGAAACCAATTAGAACATCTTGCTGTCCAGTTTAATCTCATAAAACCACATATAACTTGCTTTCACTAACATTTACGCCTTGATGAATTATACTAACATCCGAAATCTCTCTTATGCTTCGCAAAAATAGTCCAACTGATCTTCACTAATATAAACAGATGCTCATATCCTAAAGGCTGACGCGTATACGTATAATCTCCAAATACTTTTTTCCTTAGAAAAATTTTCCTAAAAATATGTAAAACTGATCCAATAATACGTTGAGATACCTATTAACACGTAAAAGATCTTTTGTTAAAAAGTCAATAGCACCCACAGAAAAATACAATCCACTCATCGATATACGACTGAATTAGCTACTTAAATATATTTATCTTGACAACTCTTATAAATATGAAAAAGGGAGTCTAAAAACTGTGTTTGTGCTAAGAATAAGAGAGATTCTGATTGTGAGTAGAGGTGGGGATCATTTTACGGTCTTTGCTGACCGTATATTTTTTCTAGGATTTGTACAAAGTGGATGCTCGTGATTATGACTAGTCAAGGTACAGGTGTTAATAATTTTGATATCAATTATCAATGTTTCCTCTGTCTTTGCCTCACAACAACACCCGATACTTACAGCATAGTCCGAGACTCATACGTACACATACTCCCCTGGATATTTCATATACTGAAGTTTTTATTACGTAGATGGATGAGACAACTCAATATCGTTTTTATTAGTTTCAAATAAATATTAGAATAAAAGTTAGAACTTATTTCAATGTCTCAAGACAATTTGTTTTTACAAGAATGTTACAACTAATATGATTTGTAGATAACTATTGACATTCGTATGTTAATCTTTTGGATTTATCACTCGTGTTATCCTTCCAAAAGTCGTTGAATATCCGATTCTAATTGTAAACGACCTTCATTCGAAGCAGGTAAACATTGTTCATAGACAACTAATGCTTGTTTATAATAGTTAAGTGCTAGCTTAGGTTGTTTAAGATGTTCGTAATTTCCACCAATATTGCACAAAGATTTGCCAATATTTTGATGATCTGGTGGAAGAATTTTTTCGTGCATTAAAAAGCATTTCAATTCATATGCTAGAGAAAGTTCATATTCATGTCGACTTTCTTGTACGATAGAGAAAGCTGAAAGAGTCTTAGCAATGGCCAAATTTTCCGGAGAGAGACTAGCTTCTTTAATTCGTAAACATGGTTCGAGATATTTGGCAGAATCATCATTGTTTTCAGCTTGATTCAAACAAGATGCAATCCATTCTAGACCATCAGCAATTTTAATATGATTGTTAGGATAATACTCATTAAGAAGAGCTACTGACTGTTGATAATAATCGATGGCTTGATTATATTTTCTTTGCTTAAATTTAATGTTACCAATATCCATGAGTTTGTTCGCAATGTCTAAATGATGCGATGAAGAATATTTCTGATAGATTTGTAGGGATCGTTGATAGAATTCGATGGCTTCATCATATTTTTCTTGACTTTTTCGAACATTGCCCATATCATTCAAAGTATGAACAATATTCCTATAAGTAGATGGATAATAATTTTCTCGAATGTCAAGAGCTTGCTGATAATATTCAAATGCTTCATCATAATTTTCTTGCTTAAATAAGATGTTTCCAATGTTACTGATAACATGAGCAAGAAAATCTCGGAAACACGTAGAATACTTCTTACAAATCTCTTCTGCTCTGTGAGAAAAATCGAAGGCTTCATTGTACTTAGCTTCAACATATCGGATAATACCCATCCAATTAAGAGTATAAGCAATATTGATATTGTTAGATTTATAATATTTTTGTTGAATTGTAAGTGCTTTTTCATGATATTTGAAAGCTTGATCGTATTCTTTCAGTTGGTAGAGAACACTACCGATGCTGTTAAGACTATTAGCAATATCAATATTATCAGAAAGGTAATAATCTTCCTGTATTGCTAATGCTTGTTTAAAAGAATCAAAAGCCTCATGATATTTTCCTTGTTCATTTAGGTTATGACCAATGAATATGAAACTATGAGCAATATGACCATAATAAGATGGATAATATGTCTCTAATATTGAGAAAGCTTGTCTATGAAATTCTAAAGCTTTATCATAGTTCTTTTTTCCATTTCGAAAAACCAAACCAATTCTATTCAATGTGTAAACAATGCTTATGTGGTCAGACGAATAATATTTCATTTGTATTGATAGATGTTGTTGATATAGATCTAGCGCTTCGTCATACTTTTCTTGTGCAAATTTAATGTCTCCTAAGTTATTCAAACTTATCACTATGTCGATATGACCAAATGGATAAAATTTCTTTTGCAATGCCCATGCTCGTTGCACATTTATGAGAGCTTCATCGTACTTCATCTGTTGGTTAAGAATAATACTGATATTATTAAGAGTATCGGCGATATATACATGACCCGATGGATAATATTTGTCGTAGATTGACATTGCTTGTTGATGATAATCAAAGGCTTCATTAAATTTTTCTTGTCCCATTAAAGTATAACCGATGTTCCATAGATTAGTAGCAATATCGACATGAGGAAAGTTATAATATTTTTCTCGAATGATCAGAGCTTGTTGAAAGAAGATGAGTGCTTCATCGAATTTTAGTCGTTGATGCTGAATAAGACCAATGTTTTCTAGACATAAAGCAATACTTACATGATCAGAAGAGTAATATTTCTTTCGTATTGTTAATGCTCGTTGATGAAAATCGTAAGCTTCTTCATATTTTCCCTGAAGATACAATATTTCACCAATGTCTGAGAGTACAAAAGGGGAATATTTGATAGAATTTAGCTCATTTTCTATTATTCGATTAAGTGCAGATTCATAATACTTTCGTGCTTCAATCCATTCTCCTTTCCAATGATGAGTTTGACCAATATAATGTTCTATTTGTGCTAAATTTTCTCCATATGAATCGTTTAACAAATGTTGAAAATATATTTGTGATTGATTCCATTGACTCATGTCACATATTAATTGTCCAAAAATAATTGAAATAGTTAGATCTTCTATTTGCCGATGATTATCATCAATATATTTTTGTATGATAATTTGTCCATCATTAACTGCAGTCATTTTAATAATCCACATGTGTTCTTCTTCTTGAATATTTTCCAAACGAAAAGTAGTATTTAAATCAAAGAGAATATCTTCTTGATGTAAAGATTCATTGAATTGAGTTATATCAACAAAATAAACATAGTCACCAATCTCTTGTAGATTGCATTCAATTTGAAAAAGAACAGTAATAAGATCATTTTGTTTTTCAGATAGTGCAGTCAAAGTCAATGCTGATAAACGAGAACGATTTGCTGTTAAAAATTCTTTTATTGAAATAAGTTTATGTTTGTTGTCTATTAATTTGTTGAGTTCAGTTTTTGATAATTTCATTATTCGATAAAGAATTAAATTTGTTGTATCAGATTGAACGATTTGTTGATGTTCTCGAGAGAGATTTTCAATAAGATCAGCAAGAAAATATCTTAATTTATAAAGTAGATCTGTGTCTTCCATTCGTAAAGCTCTATTAATTATTTTTCTCAAAAATGAACTTTTCAAATACCAGCGAATAGCTTCGTTCGATTGATATTTCTGTTCGAATTCATCGATCAGTGGAAGTTCTTTGAAGTTTTCTCTATAGTAAAAACGGCATGCTTCAATCATCTGCTTTTTACTTTTTTCATCCCGTGATAAATGCAAAATAACATTATGAAATAATTGAAGCCAAAGAAAATTACTTGATTGTTTTGTTAAATCTTTTATTAAATATTCATTTTGATCAAAAAAAGTCCATTTATGAAATCTATTCTCAACAAAATCAATTTGTTCTTCAATTGATGAAGAAAGTAAGTCGAATTTATCATAAATACCAATTATTTTTGAATATTCGAAAAGTAAATGTTCATATTGAGATTTATTCGATGAATATATAAACACACAATCAACTTGATGTAAATTATTAATATGAGACAATATTTGAGAAGCAAATGAATCGAAAGTAATGACAAAGACTGTTTCTTTTTCTATTGATTGAATAGAAGTGATACAAAATTCAAGTTCATTATGAAAAACAAGAGGGTTATTTATTTGATTTAATCGTTTATTTAAATATTCAATGTCATCATGGAATTCATTGGCCGGATCAAAGCAGACAAGAATTATATTAATATCGTTTTCGTCAATATTTATTGATCTGTATTCATCGTGAGAATAAGTAGAGATTATTCTATTGACAGATAATGTTGTCATAATTAGTGAAGATTAACTTGATTTAAATTAATATCAATATCGTGTTTTTACTGAAATAAAGAGAAAATAATTTTGGTGTTGAAGAAATTCTGTCAACCAATATATATGTGTGTGTGTCATCATTGAGAGTAAGGATAACAATAAAACTAATAATTCGAAAAATTTGATTCTATATATAATTAGAATTCACAATTATTTAAATGATATCATAGAGAATAGGAAAATTTTTCAAAGCATTCGAAGAAAGTTATTTTGAACCATATCGAATTTTTTCAATCTTTAATTTGTTAAGATAGTTATGAATTTTCAGAAACTTCTATGAAAATTTGTCGAACAAGAATTGAAACATTAATGGTATTTACACAAAAAAAAACTTTGGCCTATTATTTTGATCAATCTCGATAAGAAACAAGGAAAAAAGAGCGCCATATGAATGATTTTTTTTAAGTTAAGTTTTGAAAAAAACGGTGCACTACTTACGAGGCAAAACATTGAGTTGGTAGATCGATATGCTTTTGTGTTTGATCAGTATTCAATTATGTCATGAATATATGTGTGTATAATTACAAAAAGAGCATCGTTGGTTTTTTTCAAATAAGCGTGTCTTTTAATGTATAGGAAGAGGGGGCACCATCTATTCATCATATGAGTATAACACGTGATAAACATTCGTCATATTATCGTTCTTATTCTCTTCTGCAATTATATTCTGTTTGCTTTCTTTGCATTCGCTTTATATTTTTATTAATTGCTTTCGTTCTCATCACTTCATTATGAGTAGATCTACATTTCCATAACGAAGAAAGATGACATTTTCATATTATAGTCATTTTAAATATTTGTCTATGGAAAAACAAACTTGCTAAAATCCTTTACGCAATGATAATTATTAATATTATTCTTGATTGAATAGTTTTTAAAAACAAAACTTAAATAAAGATCTTTGTAGTGACTCAATGAAAAATGCTCAAACTGCTTGAAAATTTTGAGTTCTATAACGAAAAAAAGTCCGAAATTGATCAAAGCAACTCACAACGAGTTGAGACTATGGAACTCTGTTGTTCTCTTATATATTATTATAGTCATATACTAATATGTAATTTATAATACTTCTCATAAAGAAAAATTTCTCTTCAGGGATGCGTTATTATTACAGTATTTGCTCTCTATTTTATCTATTTATTTGTCAGATAAATCTACTTTGCTTTTCCATGTAGCTAAGCTCCTATCTGATGTTATTGGTAATAAGAAAATGAAAGCGTACCTATTGTTTTTGAGAATGAGGGATCTAACTGTTAATCTTTGACCGTTGATTCTGGTGACCAGTGGTAAGAGTGGAAGCTACAAGAGGCTCGACTTAAAGTTGTATATATTCTTCTTTTTCGAAAAACATACTTCAGTTTCATAAAATAAAAACAGAATGTTGCTCTTATTCTACCTCCATTTTCTCGTACAAAGTAGCACAAGGTACAATTACTTGGAATTGTTTTCAGTTGCAATCAATAATGAACACACTCAAATAAAGAAAGAAAGAATAAAGCAACATTTACTTCAAATATTATTGATTCGGCTATTATAAAAACACTTTAATCAACAAATAGTAGAGAATAAAAAACAACAAATAATAATATATCTTGTACAATTTACTAGGAACACCGAAAACAATTAACAATCCTCATTTAAAATTAACATTAACAAACAAACAAAACTTCTATAATGAATTTCATTTATTTCAAGATAAATCTTAATAGAAATCCATTCTGAATCAAGACTTGAACAAATACTGGCGATAAAGTCTCTTTATAGAGAGACTTCGAATGGATTTCAATGTGGAGCGGTTTAAAAAATGATTCGATTTATTCTGTTAACATGGAACTATAAATTAAATACAAATAACGATTAGTTTTCATTCATAGCTGGGCGAATTGATTTTATTTGTGCACAATAATCAATTCACCAATATCTAGATATATTTGTAGATATTGATACTTTCTTGTTTCATACTTCCACATCCAATTTTGAATTTCGAACACGATTGGAAGGATAATCAATTTTCCAAAAAACAACCAAAGCTGTACAAAATAAAATTAAATAATCTGAAGTAGTAGTCTTGCTTACCCAATCATAACCCATTTACGGAAAATATTATTCACCCTATCTTTAGATAGTAAGCTCCAGATAATTAAAACGAGGGTGGGTGTGGGGTGTAGGTGTGAGGTATGGGTGGGTGTGTGGTATGGGTGTGGGATGTGTGAGGGTGTGGATGCGTTGGTATGAGTGTGGATGTGGGTGGATGTGGGTGAGGCGTGGTTGTGAGCGTTGGTCCGCTTTTTCACCCCACGCCCCTTCCACCTCACACCCACCCACACCCCACCCCACACGCACACACCCACTCACACCCACAGCCTATCCAATATTATTCTTCATTTTATAAAAGTCTATTGATTGATATAAACATGGCTTGAAGAGTTGTTAGCGATTAAATAAAACTATTTAATATCATATAATGAAGTTAGAGAAGAATTTTGTTTTCACTTTCTACACTCTTATATATCTTTAAACTAGAATCATTTATTGAGAGATAGTGTAAAAAAATTTAATACATAAATACTAAACATCAGAGGTGGGATCGGTTGGCATTTTTGCCAAACCGAACCGAACGTAACCGACCGAATTTTTTAAAATTTCTAACCGAACCGACCGTAACCGAAAAAATCTCTAACTGAACCGAATGTAACCGACCGAATTTCAAAAATTTCGTAATCGAACCGAGTTTAGAGAAAGCGAAGTTTAGCTTATGTTAATTAGGGTATTAGTGCTTTATAAATTAGCAACAACAAATCTAACAGTAGCAACTATGAGCAATCAACATCTAGAGAAAGTAACGAAGAAAGATTATTTGTTGAATCCTCTTATTGTATTATAACTTTCTTACCTCTCACAACAAATTTAAAAAACATGTGAGATAATACGAGTTACGAACAACAGCTAATTGTTGTACGATTACACTCTTTTTTCTTCTTATGTCTCAAAAAGTCCATCGAACTCAAATCAAAAGATTATGTCGATTCTTTCTAACCGAACCGAACGTAACCGACCGAATTTTTTAAAATTTCTAACCGAACCGATCGTAACCGAAAAAATCCCTAACCGAACCGAACGTAACCGACCAAATTTTTTAAAAATCTCGAATCGAACCGATTTCGGTTACGGTCGGTCGGTTCGGTTCGGTTAAAAACCGAACCGGTCACATCTCTGCTAAACATTTATGTATCTTTCATCTTTTTGTTTTATTGTTGTTTAATTTTATAATAAATGACTCATTAAGAGTAATCATTCCCTTTTCTCACATGATTTCATATGTATATATGTATGTTGAAAGATATTCAATGAATACCGTTTATCATATATTGCTATTATCCATGAATATAAATGATACATGAATGAGAGTGTATATGTGTGTATTAAATGACTACTCGTTGATTGTTCTTATTGGTTCTTTCTTCCTCTCATTGATGATGTCATGTATGTTTATATATGCATAAGATTCAGAACAGTATATGTGTCATAGACAAAAGCGCTCAAAGAAAATGAATTGAAAAAATTTCTTATCTTCTCCTTGTCTTGAGAATATAAAAGAGTAGGATGAACAATACTCATCATCCATATAAATAGAATTTATTGAAATGAGTATGTTCATCATTAACCAATTCATCTTTCTTCCTATAATAAAACTACATTTTCTGTAAAATACTTTCACACATATAATTTACTTTTGACATCTTCTTGTTATCATACTTACAATCAGAAAAAGAAATAACATCATTGGAATTAGAAATTGTTAATATGTTCGAAAATAAATTATTATTAATTGGTTCATCATCAGAAGATGATTTGTATGATGAATATGATCAAGATGAATTATTGAAGAAAGTTCAAATATATATAGAAGACGAATAACCCATTGAATTTTTCTTACTAGTATTTTCATGTAAATCTCCTAATTTGGATAAAGTTTGTGGAAAATTATCTGATGTTAATGAATTCTATACACTTAAATGTCTCAATGGAATTTTTTAAGAATTCATTCACTTTATGAATATGATTTATGAACTTATGATATGGTCAGATAGAGACGTCTTTTTCAAGATTTAATTGATCTATTTGATGAAAATATTGAAATATATAAAAGTCTTTTAAAATCGTCTTCATCAACAATGAAACATATTCAATGGTATAGTATGGATAATTATGTTAATACTTGTAATGATAAAAATTTAGTAAAGAAATCTGAAACATCAAGAGTTTTATTTAATGAATTACTATTTCAATGAGAATCTAATAGACAAAAAAATTTTTTTTTCATTTTGATGATGATCATTGTTTCTCTGGCTGTATCTGTTTTATTTGTTGTTGGTAAGAATTGTGTTTCAAACCAAGTTCGATCATTTTATATTCATGATTCCAATTCATTTGTTTTTCTTTCAAATACATTTGTTTTTCTTCTCGTTTAGCTTTTTCATATTCTAGTATAAATTTTCCGATGATTGTACCAACATATGAGAACATAATGATAATTAAAATAGTATTAAAGCCCCTATGAGGAAAGCAATAAAACATTGATTGGTTCATTGAACTTATAAAATAAATAAATAAACCTTCAACTTACAATGAGCTCGAAAATCATCACGTAAATTACGATATAATTCTCGGCTGTTACTAATAATTGTTTTAAATAATCCATCTGTATGTAATTTCACATCATGATCATATTTTGTTCGATCATGTGTTGCATGATCATCACCCATGTGATGAAAACCGGGCACAAATCGGCGGTTTTACCGGTCCGGTTACTGGCTCCTTGACATAGTAAAACCACGGTAAACCGGCGGTTTTTCTCGCTTTACCGGTTCCTTACCGATTAACCGATTTTTTTTAATGGTGAATGGTCGTAAATCGGCGGTTTTTGCCGGTAAACCGCGGTTTATCGCTAAAACTGA